ACAGCACACACCTGTGTATACAAGGTCCCACAGCACACACCTGTATATACACAAGGTCCACAGCACACACCTGTATATACAAGGTCCACAGCATACACCTGTATATACAAGGTCCCACAGTACACACCTGTATATACAAGGTCCCACAGCACACACCTGTATATACACAAGGTCCACAGCACACACCTGTATATACACAAGGTCCCACAGCACACACCTGTATACACAAGGTCCACAGCACACACCTGTATATACAAGGTCCCACAGCACACACCTGTATATACAAGGTCCCACAGCACACACCTGTATATACAAGGTCCACAGCACACACCTGTATATACAAGGTCCACAGCACACACCTGTATATACACAAGGTCCACAGCACACACCTGTATATACACAAGGTCCACAGCACACACACCCTGTATATATACAAGGTCCACAGCACACACCTGTATATACAAGGTCCCACAGCACACACCTGTATATACAAGGTCCCACAGCACACACCTGTATATACACAAGGTCCACAGCACACACCTGTATATACAAGATCCCACAGCACACACCTGTATATACAAGGTCCCACAGAAAGGCACACACCTGTATATATAAGGTCCCACAGAAAGGCACACACCTGTATATATAAGGTCCCACAGAAAGGCACACACCTGTATATATAAGGTCCACAGAAAGGCACACACCTGTATATATAAGGTCCCAATGAGCACAGGGGCCTCCATCATCCGTAAATGGAAGAAGAACCAGGACTCTTCCTAGAGCTGGCCGGCCCCTGAACTGAGCGATCGGGGGAGAAGGGCCTTAGTCAGGGAGGTGACTAAGAACCCCATGGTCACTTTGTCAGAGCTCCAGCGTTCCTCTGTGGAGAGAGGAGAACCCTCCAGAAGGACAAGCATCTCTGCACCAATCCACAAATCAGGCCTGTGTGGTAGAGTGGCCAGACGGAAGGGCTCCTTAGTTTGGAGTTTGCCAAAAGGCTCCTGAAGGACTCTCTGACCATGAGTAAAAACATTCTCTGGTCTGAGACAGAGATTGAAGTCTTTGGTTTGCCAGGCGTCATGTTTGGAGGAAACCAGGCCCTGCTCATCACCGAGCCAATACCATCCCTACAGTGAAGCATGGGGGGGGGGGGGTAGCATCATGCTGTGGGGATAATACCATCCCTACAGTGAAGCATGGGGGTGGTAGCATCATGTTGTGGGGATAATACCATCCCTACAGTGAAGCATGGGGGTGGTAGCATCATGCTGTGGGGATAATACCATCCCTACAGTGAAGCATGGGGGTGGTAGCATCATGCTGTGGGGATAATACCATCCCTACAGTGAAGCATGGGGGTGGTAGCATCATGCTGTGGGGATGTTTTTCAGCGGCAGGAACTGGGAGACTAGTCACGATAGAGGGAAAGATGAATGCAGCAATGTACAGAGACATCCTGGATGAAAACCTGCTCCAGAGCTCTTGACCTCAGACTGGGGCGACGGTTCATCTTTCAGCAGGACAACGACCCTAAGCACAGCCACGATAACAAAGAAGTGGCTTCAGGACAACTCTGTGAATGTCCTTGAGTGGCCCAGAGCCCAGACTTGAATCCAACTGAACATCTCTGGAGAGATCTGAAAATGGCTGTGCACCGGCACTCCCCATCCAACTGGATGGAGCTTGAGAGGTGCTGTAGAGAGGAATGGGCCAAAACTGCCCAAAGACAGGTGTGCCAAGCTTGTGGCATCAGAGTCACAAAGACTTGAGGCTGTGATTGGTCCAAAGGTGCATCAACAAAGTATTAAGCAAAGGCTGTGAATACTTATGTACATGTGCAACCTTAGTTTTTTATTTTTAATACATTTGCAAGAATCTCAAAAAAAGTTTTTTCATGATGTCATTATGGGCTGTTGTGTAGAAATGTGAGGAAAAAATGAATTTAATCAATTTTGGAATAAGGTTGTAACAAAACAAAATGTGGAAAAGGGGAAGCGCTGAGAGTACTTTCTGGATGCACTGTGTACACACATACATACTGTATATAGAGTATATCTGTATACAGTATACATACAGTATACATACAGTATACATACAGTATGGATTTTTAAATCCACCATAAAATTATGGTGGAAAATAAGTATTGGGTCAATAACACAAATTCAACTCAATACTTTGTAATATAACCTTTGTTGGCAATAACAGGTCAAACGATTACTATAGGTCTTTACCAGGTTTGCACACACAGTAGCTGGTATTTTGGCCCATTCCTCCATGCAGATCTTCTCGAGAGCAGTGAACACGGACTTTCAACTCCCTCCACAGATTTTCACTGGGGTTGAGGTCTGGAGACTGGCGAGGCCTCTCCAGGACTTTCAAATGCTTCTTACGGAGCCACTTCTTCGTTGCCCGGGCGGTGTGTTTGGGATCATTGTCATGCTGGAAGACCCAGCCACGGTTCATCTTCAAAGCTCTCACTGATGGAAGGAGGTTTTGGCTCAAAATCTCACGATACATGGCCCCATTCATTCTTTCCTTAACACGGATCAGTCGTCCTGTCCCCTTAGCAGAAATCAGCCCCAAAGCATGACGTTTCCACCCCCATGCTTCACAGTAGGTATGGTGTTCTTGGGATGCAACTCAGTCTTCTTCTTCCTCCAAACACGACGAGTTGAGTTTATACCAAACAGTTGAACTTTGGTTTCATCTGACCACATGACATTCTCCCAATGCTCTGCTGTATCATCCATGTGCTCTCTGGCAAACTTCAGACGGGCCTGGATCATCCATGTGCTCTCTGGCAAACTTCAGACGGGCCTGGATCATCCATGTGCTCTCTGGCAAACTTCAGACGGGCCTGGATCATCCATGTGCTCTCTGGCAAACTTCAGACGGGCCTGGATCATCCATGTGCTCTCTGGCAAACTTCAGACGGGCCTGGACATGCACTGGCTTCAGCAGGGGGACACGTCTGGCACTGCAGGATCTGATTCCCTGTCGTCGAAGTGTGTTACTGATGGTAACCTTTGTTACTCTGGTCCCAGCTCTCTGCAGGTCATTCACCAGGTCCCCCCGTGTGACTCTGGGATTTTTGATCACCGTTCATCATTTTTTTTCTTTTAAATAATTTTATTTATGCATTTTCAATATGACAATTCACATATTGTGTGTACCAGATGCCTTTTTTCTTTCAAACATAATATATATATTTTTTAAATACAGTGCATAGATTGACTGAAAAAATAAATAAAGACATGTAAACAAGATTCCCATAATGTAATATCAAGGTAAAATTAGAGTTACAGGTTTTATTATACATATATCAAGGTGTGCCAACCATTTTCATATCTTCCATGTATTTTAGGAATGGCCGCCACGTTCGTTCAAATTTAGCAATTCAGAAAGTGTTTACCTCATTTTAGAAAGTGCATAAGATCGACCTTTGCTCCAATGGGAACGTGCAGGAGACTCGTCTTTCCATTTAAAAACAAGACGTCGTCATCAGAGATGCAAAGGCCACAGCACGTAAGGAGTTATTTGGGATAGTTACTCCGGGACGCAACACCCCAGAGAGCGCCGTCAGAGCATTGGGTACAACTCTAACGCTGTAAGCATCTGAAAGAGTTTTAAAAATACATGTCCAATAATTACAAATATTAGTGCATGACCAGAAGGTATGTTTGAGTGAACCAGAATCAGACTTGCAACGATTACACAAAGGATCTGTGCCCGGGTACAATGTAGCTAGTTTCTCCTTAGAAAGGTGTAATCGGTGAAGGACCTTAAATTGGATAAGTCCATGTCTGGCACAAATAGAAGAAATGAACCCCTCACAGCATGGCCCCCAGAGCTCATCTGTTCAGTGCTACATCCTTTTCCCAATGTGATTTAATAACGGTCAAAGACTGGGACTGTCCAAAGTTGAAGCTGCAGGTGGATTAGGAAAGGAAGGGTATTTGTTATTCATAAAATGACTGTAGACAACAGAAAAATGTGTTTTAGGTTTATTAAAATGTTCGGTTAGTTGTAGGAATGAGGCAAAAACATGATCAATAAAGAGATCTTTAAATGTATGTAACCCTTTGTTGTTCCAGATTATAGTTTGTTCTCCTGCCCTACTCACACCCTTCACTGTTTTATCTGCCCACAGTTTAATCACCAGGGGTTCTATTGATAAAGCAAACAAAAGTGGGGATAAAGGACGACCCTGTCTTGTGCCGCCGTGCGAATACGGAAAACAGAATGAGTTTGTTCTTACTCGAGCCATAGGTGAGTAAAGCAAGCGCACCCAGGATATACATTTGGAGCCAAAGCCAAATTGGTCAAGAATATAAAACAAATAGTCCCACTCCACCCGCTCTTTCTCAGCATCGAGTGACGGGGCTCTGGGGTTGTGTTTGAGTGTGTACTTAGAATATTGAAAAACCCTGCCTTCCTTTGATCAATCCCGTCTGATCCGATGATAATTACTTGCCTTCGCTGATATCAAGGCCAAGGTAAGTAATTTAGATAAAATCATGAAGTCTACATTTAACAATGGTAAAGGTCTAAAGGAAGAACGAGAGAGAGAGAGAGAGAGAGAGAGACTACATGTTCCTCAACAAGAGAGAGTCTTTAAAGGTTTTAAACATTCCACAGGATAACCATCCGGCCTCGGTGATTGTGAACTTTGCACTGATTGATAATTTAACCTCCTCCATTGATATTGACTCCTCTCATTTATTTTTAAAAACTCAAAGGCTCAAAGGAAGGAATTTCTAAGTTTTCTAAAAATGTATCGAACAGCTCTGGTGATTGTAAGGATTCAGACTGATACAGAGTGTCATAAAATGTTTGATCACTTTTGGGTTTATAGTAACCTGCCCATCTTGGGTTCTGGTTTCAGATACCAGCTGTGTGGAGTTTAGAACCCTTCTCCCCATGCTCGTACCATCGACCCTTCTCCCCATGCTCGTACCATCAACCCTTCTCCATGCTCGTACCATCGACCCTTCTCCCCCATGCTCGTACCATCGACCCTTCTCCCCATGGTCGTACCATCGACCCTTCTCCATGCTCGTACCATCGACCCTTCTCCCCATGCTCGTACCATCGACCCTTTTCCATGCTCGTACCATCGACCCTTCTCCCCATGCTCGTACCATCGACCCTTCTCCCCATGCTCGTACCATCGACCCTTCTCCCCATGGCCGTACCATCGACCCTTCTCCCCATGGCGGTACCATCGACCCTTCTCCATGCTCGTACCATCGAGCCTTCTCCCCCATGGTCGTACCATCGACCCTACTCCCCCATGCTCGTACCATCGACCCTTCTCCATGCTCGTACCATCGACCCTTCTCCCCATGGTGGTACCATCGACCCTTCTCCCCATGGTCGTACCATTGACCCTTCTCCCCATGGTCGTACCATCGACCCTTCTCCATGCTCGTACCATCGACCCTTCTCCATGCTCGTACCATCGACCCTTCTCCCCATGCTCGTACCATCGACCCTTCTCCCCATGCTCGTACCATCGACCCTTCTCCCCATGCTCGTACCATCGACCCTTCTCCCCATGGCCGTACCATCGACCCTTCTCCCCATGGCCGTACCATCGACCCTTCTCCCCCATGGTCGTACCATCGAGCCTTCTCCCCCATGGTCGTACCATCGACCCTACTCCCCCATGCTCGTACCATCGACCCTTCTCCATGCTCGTACCATCGACCCTTCTCCCCATGCTCGTACCATCGACCCTTCTCCCCCATGGTCGTACCATCGACCCTTCTCCCCCATGGTCGTACCATCGACCCTACTCCCCATGCTCGTACCATCGACCCGTCTCCCCATGCTCGTACCATCGGCCCTTCTCCCCCATGCTCGTACCATCGACCCTTCTCCCCCATGCTCGTACCATCGACCCTTCTCCATGCTCGTACCATCGACCCTTCTCCCCATGGTCGTACCATCAACCCTTCTCCCCATGGTCGTACCATCGACCCTTCTCCCCATGGTCGTACCATCGACCCTTCTCCCCATGGTCGTACCATCGACCCTTCTCCCCATGGTCGTACCATCGACCCTTCTCCCCCATGGTCGTACCATCGACCCTTCTCCCCCATGGTCGTACCATCGACCCTACTCCCCATGCTCGTACCATCGACCCTTCTCCCCATGCTCGTACCATCGACCCTTCTCCCCATGCTCGTACCATCGACCCTTCTCCCCCATGCTCGTACCATCGACCCTTCTCCATGCTCGTACCATCGACCCTTCTCCCCATGCTCGTACCATCGACCCTTCTCCATGCTCGTACCATCGACCCTTCTCCCCATGGTCGTACCATCGACCCTTCTCCCCATGGTCGTACCATCGACCCTTCTCCCCATGGTCGTACCATCGACCCTTCTCCCCATGCTCGTACCATCGACCCTTCTCCCCATGGTCGTACCATCGACCCTTCTCCCCATGGTCGTACCATCGAGCCTGTTGAGTTGTTCTCAGATTGAATTCCGTTTGTAAAACCACTCGTTGTTTATAGAACTCTGGGGAAGGTGTCATGGAATGTTGAGAATCTCATTTTTGTCTCGTCAACTCTGAAAACTCTGAAATACGATTTTGTTTCTGCTTTTCACATCAACAGAAAGAAACGATCCGTCCTCGTAGAAATACTTTTAAACTTTCCCAAACAGGACTATAAGCCGTACCAGGGGGGCTAGAACCAAAGGGCTAGAACCAAAGGGCTAGAACCAAAGGGCTAGAACCAAAGGGCTAGAACCAAAGGGCTAGAACCAAAGGGCTAGAACCAAAGGGTTAGAACCAAAGGGTTAGAACCAAAGAGTTAGAACCAAAGAGTTAGAACCAAAGGGTTAGAACCAAAGGGCTAGAACCAAAGGGCTAGAACCAAAGGGCTAGAACCAAAGGGTTAGAACCAAAGGGCTAGAACCAAAGGGTTAGAACCAAAGGGCTAGAACCAAAGGGTTAGAACCAAAGGGTTAGAACCAAAGAGTTAGAACCAAAGGGCTAGAACCAAAGGGTTAGAACCAAAGGGCTAGAACCAAAGGGTTAGAACCAAAGGGCTAGAACCAAAGGGTTAGAACCAAAGGGCTAGAACCAAAGGGTTAGAACCAAAGGGCTAGAACCAAAGGGCTAGAACCAAAGGGTTAGAACCAAAGGGTTAGAACCAAAGGGCTAGAACCAAAGGGTTAGAACCAAAGGGTTAGAACCAAAGAGTTAGAACCAAAGGGCTAGAACCAAAGGGCTAGAACCAAAGGGTTAGAACCAAAGGGCTAGAACCAAAGGGCTAGAACCAAAGGGTTAGAACCAAAGGGTTAGAACCAAAGGGCTAGAACCAAAGGGCTAGAACCAAAGGGCTGTGATCAGACACAACTACACTTTCATATCTACAAGCTTTAACATTTGAGATGATTTTCTTATCCATGAAACAATAGTCAGTGTGATGTAGATGAACTGGTGAGAAACATGTGTTTTAAAGAGGGATTAAAACGACAAACACCGACATTTTCAGATACGACTGAAACTCGAGCGGGTTTAGAAACTGAAAGGTTTTTCAGACGCTCCAGAACTGGGTCCATCACGTGTTCATATCCCCACAAACAAAGCATGTGTATTCATTCATTTGTTCTTGAAAACACTGACCCTCCCAGTCAGGGGCGTTCACATGAGTTCACATGAGTTCACATGAGTTCACATGAGTTTACATGAGTTTACATGAGTTTACATGAGTTTACATGAGTTTACATGAGTTTACATGAGTTTACATGAGTTTACATGAGTTCACATGAGTTCACATGAGTTCACATGAGTTCACATGAGTTCACATGAGTTCACATGAGTTTACATGAGTTTACATGAGTTTACATGAGTTTACATGAGTTTACATGAGTTTACATGAGTTTACATGAGTTTACATGAGTTCACATGAGTTCACATGAGTTCACATGAGTTCACATGAGTTCACATGAGTTCACATGAGTTCACATGAGTTCACATGAGTTCACATGAGTTCACATTAGTTTACATTAGTTTACATTAGAGCCAGAACTAAAGGAATGTTAAAGATCCAGTTACTGTCACGAAACGACCGTTAGGATCAGATGTTTTTATGAATGAGAAGGGCCTCTCGCCTTTGCCTTGAAGAGTGGAAAACTTGTCCCAATCTCTTTTTAGTTTTGGTTGTGATAACTTTTTGAGGTGTAACAGATGAGAAAGTACTCACTGCATTTGATTGGATGGTTCTTTTACATTCCAACTTATGAAGTTAACACGGCGGCCATGACCTCCAGCTTGAGAATCATCTGATGGAGTAACCATGGTTACCTTCAAGTGAAGGAGTTTCCTGCTACTGCGGATTCAAAGAAAGAATTAACTACAGTATAACAAAGTGCAAAGTGAAAACAAAACTGAAAAAACAAACATATTCCCCCCCCCCCTCCAGCTTCGGTGTTGTCCCCAATTGACAAACCCCAAGTGTCGTCACTTCCATCGAGTCTTCTCGATGTCTTCTCGAGTCTAAAGGCAAATAAAATAACCTGCGCACAAAAAATTAGGTACAATATACAAACTATGAAGAGATCCATTTATGATTCATTCTGAGAGAGAGAACAAAATAAAACTGAAATAATATGAACTAAAACATGTCTAGTTAGTAACTGCGAGGTAAATAAAAATAGAACTATAAGATAAAACGAATATATAAAAATAAACAGACCTGATCATTGCTGTGAATAAAAAAAATAAAAAAACATAAATGAAGGTAGGACTATGAACAGAATTTTTCACAGGTAAAATATCTAAAGTAAAATATGGTCTAACGTTCTAATGTGTCTAAAGTGTTAAAGAAATAAGGATAAGAAAAATATGATAAATATATCTAAAATATATATATTTTAAACTGTAAAAACCCAAATACTCATGAATTGCACATCACAATAGTCAGTATTATTTTACAAATGTAATTAAAAAATGTAATCAGACAAATAACGTATAAACTTGTAAAGAACACAGAAGTGACTTCACTGTTTTTGGATTGTCTTTAAACATTCACGTTCTCAGCAGAGTAGCCGGGTTTATTTTTTCCCCTAAACTTTTGAGTCACTGTAATCTTTCACACTCTTTCGTTCCCCGTCCCAGGACAGTCGCAGCCGAGCCGGGTAGAGCAGACCATAACGAACTCCATCCTTCCCCCGGAGCAGTGCTTTCACCTCGTTAAAGCTGAACGCCGTCTGTTCAACTCTGAAATCTGGGAAGACGAGGAGCGGATTTCCACTGAACTCCAGTCGGCCTTTCTCCCGACGCTGAAGGCTCCTTCTCTTGGTAACAAGCGGACGATGAGTGGGCGTGGTCTTCCTCCAGCCGTGGGGGGTTGAGCTGATGTCCGGTGGGCTCTATCCTCTAAAGAGGAGGTTTCTCCAGGCCATTGGGACCACCGAGAACTTTGTGTAATAAGTCCGTAACAAACTTAGTTGGATCTCCTTGTTCAAAAGGCGTAGATTGCAACGCCTGCTCCTATTTCCAATGTCATCCAACTTCTGAACAAGTTTGTCGTACTCGTTGCTCAGCTCCGTGTACTCAGCCTCTGTAGCAGTAATCCGAGTATCGAGCTCCAAAAGTTCTTGGCCGTGGTCACGGAGCTTATCTGTACCGTCGTCAAGCACTTTAGGTGTGCTTGCCTTGCTAGCCTCTGGGTTGCTAACCTGCAATTTTCCCAATTTTGGAGGCATTTCGTTGAAGTTTGTGTCCACAGGAAGATGCTGACGACGAAAAGTATCATCCACTCACCAAGGAGTACTTAGTATGAAAAGTTGTGCAGATTATTATTATATATTATACAGCTGCTCACAGCAGCAGGAGAACCATTGATCTGAATGTCATTTCAAAACGTTCTACCGGTCATTTTTTTCTATAATGGACCTCTCAAAACAATAATGACCGCTGCCCTTTGGCAACGCACTCTCTGCTTGTCTTTCAAATGCGTGGATAACTCCGCAAGTAGTTCCAGCCACTCCGGAGCTAGCCACGCTCAATCAACACACTTAATGTTAATCGGAGAATACTTTATACTTATACATTCTTCACACACGTGCACGGAAATGTTCAGAATTTTCTGGTCTTGTCTTCATGACAAAAATACTATTTCTTTGCGTCAAAAAGCGATCGTGAAAAACCCGGAAGTAGTTCCGGCCGCTCAATAAACGCAAATGCCAATCAATCAACGCAATGAAATGTTAATCGGAGAGTAATTTATACATATCCAGTCTTAATACAAGTGCACGGAAGTTTTCAGAATTTTCCGTTTACGTTTTCATGACAAAAACACTGATGTAATGCGAGAAAAGGCGATTCCGAAAAACCCAGAAGTAGATACGGCACATTTTAGGAACATTTGCAGAGGATGGAATTATGGATTTAGGTTAAGTTTATGTTTGGGTCACTCACCGCTGATGTTCAGGATTCTGTGTTCAGTTTTCATGCAGTTCCAGAGAGTTCTAGTTTGGAAGTTGCTAGCATAACTGTTGCTAGCATAGCCACGGGAAAGCCTTTGGGAACTATTTTATTTTCTTTCTTATTTTAAATAAACCTTTCGGCATTCCTAAAAGTGGACTGAAGTTTATATTGTGTGTTCTGTTGGTATAAAGCCGTATAATAAGCGGGATAACGTATATTACGCAGGTCATTATCGGAAAATAAGCACCTTCAGGGCGGAAGCAGACCATTATCCCTTACATATTTTGAAGAGGATTTCGGGACCTCGTGGTTTGCACGTCTACCTCATAGCGCGCCCCTAGTGGTCTCGTTCTCAAGATCATTTTGACCCCACAGGATGAGGTCTTGCGTGGAGCCCCAGATTGAGGGAGATTATCAGTGGTCTTGTATGTCTTCCATTTTCTGATTATTGCTCCCACAGTTGATTCACACCAAGCTGCTTGCCTATTGTAGATTCACTCTTCCCAGTCTGGTGCAGGTCTACAATTCTTTTCCTGGTGTCCTTGGACAGCTCTTTGGTCTTGGCCATAGTAGAGTTTGGAGTCTGACTGTTTGAGGCTGTGGACAGGTGTCTTTTATACAGATGAGTTCAAACAGGAGCCATTAACCTCCTGAGACCCTGCGACCTCATACGAGGACATTACATTTTTGCCTCTTGGCACAATGATACTAAATTTTTTACATCCTTGACCTGATGGCCACATTTAGGGACACTGCCCGCGCCATCTTGTGGTGATATGATAGAATTACACTTAAGGCAGTAGGAAAAAAATGGTGGCAATATCAGCAAAAGACTTCTACAAGAGTTTACAGAAGAAAAATGCCCCAGGTAAAAATTCTATCAACATTTTATGAATAAATCAATTTTTTTATGCACAATAATGTCTCTAGCTTCATATGGAGTTTGAAATTTGACAAATTTTGATTGTAGTAGCAGGCTAGGATGTCAGTAAAAGTGAAGCACTCGTTTGAGGACGCTAGGACTATGTACCGCTATCTGTTTAGCTAACCGTGTGGAAGATTTAGATGAAGTTACAGTTGTAAATAGTTATTTTGAATCACACATTTGCTTAGTTATGTGGTTTACAGTTGTAAATAGTATATTTAAGTACTAAGTGGTATATGCTAAGTATTGTTTAGTGTTGCTAAATTCTAAATCATAAACAATATAGCTAGGCTATAGCTAGCACATGATAGCCAAGCTATGAAGTGTCACTGATATACTGTAGATTTTGATGTTGGTTTTTAACATTATCATTACAGGCACACTTTCATTGTCAAGAGCAGAACAATTGCTGTTGGCAATTGCAGACAACTCTGAGATAGAGGACTTCTCAGATGGGGATGATTGTATCATCATCTCATACCTGTCAGTCATCTTCTGGTGTTTCCCACGGGGAGAGGCGGCGAGCTGGGGTGGCCATACTCATTGCCCCCCATCTCAGCCGCCATGTGTTGGAGTTCTCCCCGGTGAATGAGAGGGTCGCGTCCCTCCGCCTCCGGGTGGGACAAGTCTCCCATTGTTGTGACGGCCTACGGGCCTAACGGCAGTGCCGAGTTCCTGCCTTCTTGGAGTCCTTGGGAGGGGTACTGGACGGTGCACCTCCCGGGGACTCCGTTATTCTCCTGGGGGACTTCAACGCCCATGTGGGAAATGCCAGTGACACTTGGAGAGGGGTGATCGGGAAGAACGGCCCCCCTGATCTGAACCCGAGCGGTGTTCAGTTGTTGGACTTCTGTGCCAGTCACGGTCTGTCCATCACGAACACCATGTTCGAGCACAAGGGTGTCCACCAGTGCACGTGGCACCAGGACACCCTAGGCCGGAGGTTGATGATCGACTTTGTTGTCGTATCATCTGACCTTCGACCGCGTGTCTCGGACACTTGGGTAAAGAGAGGGGAGGAGCTGTCAACCGATCATCACCTGGTCGTGAGTTGGATCCGCTGGCAGGGGAAGAAGCCGGTCAGACCTGGCAGACCCAAGCGTATAGTGAGGGTCTGCGGGAACGTCTCGCTGAGCCCCCTGTCAGACGGACTTTCAACTCACACTTCCGGGAGAGCTTCTCCCAGGACCCAGAGGAGGGGGACATTGAGTCCGAGTGGACCATGTTCTCTTCCTCTATCACCAATAAAGCGGCTCGTAGCTGTGGTCGCAAGGTCTCTGGTGCTGGTCCCGGCGGCAATCCCCGAACCCGGTGGTGGACACCGGCAGTAAGGGATGCCGTCAGGCTGAAGAAGGAGTCCTATCGAGCAATGATGGTTTGTGGGACTCCGGAGGCAGCTGTCCAGTACCGGCAGGCCAAGCGTGCCGCGGCCCGGGCTGTTGCAGAGGCAAAAACCCGACACTGGGAGGAGTTCGGAGAGTCCATGGAGCATGACTATCGGTCGCCCTCAAAAAGGTTATGGCAAACCCTCCGGCGCCTCAGGAGGGGGAAGCAGTGCTTTGCCAACACCGTGTATGGTGCGGGTGGAGAGCTGCTGACCTCGACTGGGGATATTGTAATCCTAACTCTAACCCGGAGATGGTAGCCTTGAAAAACCCCATGCGTTGCAGAGCACAAGACTGCATTGGAAAATCCTGTGTCCGATGCATGACATGCAATGTGTACCTGTGCTTGCAAAGTGAATGCAACTGCTTTGCAGCATTTCACACTTGCCAATAGGGCTCTTCCAAACAGGCAGACAGATTGCTTTCTAGAAAAAGAGAGGGAGCTAGTTTGAAAAAAGCCCCGGTTCATAAGCTGTTCAGCAGAATTTTACTGTTTTAGGACTGTTAATAATATTTGCCATTATTTGTTCTAGTATTGTATTTATCAATTCAATTCAGCCATATTGAAGGCTTGAAATAGACAGTTTACACAGTATTTTGCGGTTTTATTTATGTATAGCCAATTTTTTGTCATGTGGATGAATGAAGAAAAAGGGAACCCAAATTGCAGGACTGAAAATCAAAGTAATTTAATAAAATAAATCCAAGGTAATGTAAAAACAGAACTGAAGACAGGACAAACATTGTGGAGACAATGGACGGACAACAAGTGAGGAAGGGCACAGGGTATATACACACACACAGGGACACACAGGGACACACAGGTGAATCACATTAGGGCGGGGCAACAATCAACAGGACAGGCAGGATTCAAACTCAACCAGGTCAAAATGTCCACACCATGACATTTTTAGGCTTTGAAGATAGAGCTGTTTGGATTTTATGTCTAACTTTGATGTTTACATTTTTCAAATAAACTGTTATATACTATTTTAGACCAATGGAGTCTATTTGTATTGTATAGTAAGGTCGACCCACTGTCCTCATGTGAGGACATTGATTTTTGAGAGAAGTACTAATTGGATCAAGCTGAAATTTTGAATTTCAACTAATTAGGACCTTCCGGCCTAAAAGATCATACATTTTCTCTTTAGGTTATGAGAGACCCACTGTCCTCATACGAGGACATGTTTTTTCTCAAAAACTACTTCCTGTACAAAATCACAATTTAGGTATTATACTTATTGGGTCCTACTTATCCTAAATAGCAAAAAAATATATAAAATGCACACCAGACAAATGCTCGGGTCTCAGGAGGTTAATACAGGTAACGAGTGGAGGACAGAAGAGCTTCTTAAAGAAGAAGTTACAGGTCTGTGAGAGCCAGAGATCTTCCTTGTTTGAAGTGACCAAATACTTATTTTCCACCATCCATCCATCCATCCATTTTCTACCCTTTAATCCATTTCTGGGTCAGGGGGGTGGCAGTCAGAGATGCCACCCAAGTCTCATAGCACCAGCCCCTCACTGACCCTCTGCAGGTGGTGAGTCCACAGGAGGACGGCTGCTCTCTGAGTGTGAGCATAGCCTTGATCTTTCAGTGGGGGCTTTGGGCAAAGTGGGGTTAAGTGTCTTGCCCAAGGACACAACGACAGCAGTCATCAGTGGGAGTCGGTGGAGAAGGTGCAGAGGTGGGAATTGAACCCACGACCTTCTGGGCTTAAGGCCAATGCTCTACCAACTGAGTTACTGTCGCCCCTATTTTCCACCATCATTTACAAATAAATTCTTTAAAAATTACAGACCTCTGTCGTTATTTTAAGTGGGAGACCTTGCACAATCGGAGGCTGATTAAATAGTAAACTAAATATTTTTTTTGCCCCACTGTACATGTATACATTTAAACTGATATATACAGTACCTTGCGAAAGTATTCAGCCCCCTTGAACCTTTCAACATTTCGCCACATTTCAGGCTTCAAACAAAGATAGCAAAATATTTTTTTTTGTCAAGAATCAACAAGTGGGACACAATCGTGAAGTGGAACGAAATTTATTGGATAATTTGAACTTTTTTAACAAATAAAAAACTGAAAAGTGGGGCGTGCAATATTATTCGGCCCCTTACACTAATACTTTGTAGCGCCACCTTTTGCTGCAATTACAGCTGCAAGTCGCTTGGGATATGTCTCTATCAGTTTTGCACATCGAGAGACTGGAATTCTTGCCCATTCTTCCTTGCAAAACAGCTCGAGCTCAGTGAGGTTGGATGGAGAGCGTTTGTGAACAGCAGTCTTCAGCTCTTTCCACAGATTCTGGATTGGATTCAGGTCTGGACTTTGACTTGGCCATTCTAACACCTGGATACGTCTATTTGTGAACCATTCCATTGTAGATTTGGCTTTATGTTTCGGATCATTGTCCTGTTGGAAGATAAATCTCCGTCCCAGTCTCAGGTCTTTTGCAGACTCCAACAGGTTTTCTTCCAGAATGGTCCTGTATTTGGCTCCATCCATCTTCCCATCAATGTTAGCCATCTTCCCTGTCCCTGCTGAAGAAAAGCAGGCCCAAAGCATGATGCTGCCACCACCATGTTTGACAGTGGGGATGGTGTGTTCAGGGTGATGAGCTGTGTTGCTTTTACGCCAAACATATCGTTTTGCATTGTGGCCAAAAAGTTCGATTTTGGTTTCATCTGACCAGAGCACCTTCTTCCACATGTTTGGTGTGTCTCCCAGGTGGCTTGTGGCAAACTTTAAACCAGACTTTTTATGGATATCTTTGAGAAATGACTTTCTTCTTGCCACTCTTCCATAAAGGCCAGATTTGTGCAGTGCACGACTGATTGTTGTCCTATGGACAGACTCTCCCACCTCAGCTGTAGTTATCTGCAGTTCATCCAGAGTGATCATGGGCCTCTTGGCTGCATCTCTGATCAGTCTTCTCCTTGTTTGAGATGAAAGTTTGGAGGGACGTCCGGGTCTTGGTAGATTTGCAGTGGTTTGATACTCCTTCCATTTCAATATAATTGCTTGCACAGTGCTCCTTGAGATGTTTAAAGCTTGGGAGATCTTTTTGTATCCAAATCCGGCTTTAAACTTCTCCACAACAGTATCTCGGACCTGCCTGGTGTGTTCCTTTGTCTTCATGGTTCTCTCTGCGCTTTAAACAGAACCCTGAGACTATCAAAGAGCAGGTGCATTTATACGGAGACTTGATTACACACAGGTGCATTCTATTTATCATCATCAGTCATTTAGGACAACATTGGATCATTCAAAGATCCTCACTGAACTTCTGGACTGAGTTTGCTGCACTGAAAGTAAAGGGGCCGAATAATATTGCACGCCCCACTTTTCAGTTTTTTATTTGTTAAAAAAGTTTAAATTATCCAAAACATTTCGTTCCACTTCACGATTGTGTCCCACTTGTTGATTCATGACAAAAAATATTTTTTTTATATTTTTATGTTTGAAGCCTGAAATGTGGCGAAATGTTGAAAGGTTCAAGGGGGCGAATACTTTCGCAAGGCACTGTATATTATATATATATTTTTTAGTATTTGGTTTCTGATATGAAGGAGGTCCATGACCTCCTTCATATTGTCTAACTCCAGCAGGTGGACTGCATCAGTATCAGTGCTGAGCAGCTGCAGGTGCCACAGTCAGACCCACACCTCCAGCTCATCTGGGGAAATCCTGAGACAGTCCTGGTCTCAGCTGCTACTGTGGAGGAGCAGCGGCTGTAGTCAGAGCTCCTCCACAGAGGAAACTCTAAAACCCCTCATTTGTAGATTTAAAACAAAAGTCTGTAAATGACAAATAAACTTTTCACACATTTATTGTAAAAAATACAGATAAAAACATTTGAGACGTACAAAAGATCGAGGCTTAGAAACCGACAGTTTCCAGCGTCACGTATTTACACATCAATAAATAAACTTTCAAAGAAAAACACAGATTGTCGTTGGTTTATGGTTCAGATACTCCTATGGTAGAAACCAGGAAGTGCATATGGAGAGAGAGAGAGGCCAGAGAGAGAGGCCAGAGAGAGAGAGGCCAATACAAGTTTTCTTCTATAAGTAACTCATGTTAAACTAACTTTAGAGGATGTTGGAGAATAAACAGCAAACGAGAAGCACACTGTAAAAAAGCTCAGTGGGACCTCAGCGCGGGGCCTCCGAGTGGGAGGCCTCAGCGGGGGACCTCAGTGGGGGACCTCAGAGTGGGGTTAAACCAGGGGCCATTTCACCTAAACACGTCCAATGAGGAACCACTTCAGACGCACTTCTTTGGAGGAGTCTGAGGTATTGCACGACAGCAAGAAAAGATTCAAAGAAAGAATTTTTTTTTTTTACACAGCTCGCACAATGCTTACACAACGCTCGCACAACGCTCAACAACTGGCAACTTTTACAGTATCATGAAAGTGGATCAGAACAAACCCTCTTTCCTCCTTTTTAAACAGAACTTTGTGGACCCTAAGCTGCTCAGTTTAAGTCATTTGAGCCCTGTGTGTGCAGGTGTGTCGTGTTGGAGCGCCCCCTGCAGGACCACAGCAGGACCACAGCAGGAGGATGTTTATGTGAACAGTTGTCAGAGCGGAGCTTAGAAGAATATTTATAGTTAATTATTTATTGTGAAATACATTAAAAGACCTAATCATGTGTCTTCAGTAATAACACTGTATGGTCCAAAAAGTGCTATTTTAAAACCAAACTAAATAATTTCCTGGTGTCTCAGACTCGTGTCGTTGTGTGACGAGTTTTGTACGATCGTCTTTTTAAACAAATACTTTGACCTTTTCAAAAATAAAGACAAGGGTTAGGGTTCCCCCCCGGGGACAGCCCCCCCGGGACAGGCCCCAACCTTTTACAAAAAAATGATATGGACACTGAAGTGTTTCTGCTGTTTCCAAATGTACTTTTACCAACAACATTTTAGGAGAATTTCACTGGTTCTTGAAGTTTCTGAGTCCGAGAGTTGGGAGTTTCTGAGACCATGTGATCAGCTTTGGCCGTGAACATGGGTCGAGCGCCAGATAAGAATGTCCAGCCTGATCTGGCGCCTGCTACATACTGCACCTAGAGTCCTGTGACCCGTGTTAAGGATCAAAATGTGAGTTTTATCATAAACGTTTTGTTGGATAAAGTTTCACATTTCTCTGGTTCTGCAGAACTGTGTTTAAAGCACATTTTATATTATTTCATTATTTATATTTATACTTTTGACCACTACACTGACGTCGTTTCCATCTCTCACCAGCAGATGGCGCCCTGATCCACACAATGCACCTTTTGAAAGGCCAGAATCCCACATTTTCACACGTTTTCAATTCAAGGCAACTTGCACAGAAGGAAAAAAACATCATCATAAAACTGGTATATTGTTTACATTTAAAAATCTGAAAAAACGAGGCTCAAAGAATCTTTCTCTTTGTGACCTTAGTGAACACAGCCCCAAAGTGAACCTCAGTCCTGGGGTCTATGGCCTCAGTCCTGGGTCTACATTTCAGACTTTGGGGCCATGCCACACACACACCATTGGAATATAGCAGAACGGTGCCAATACCAGGCTATAGTCCTCAATCCACTCACTCAAAATGTTTTAACAAAGTAAAGAAATGAACCAAAATTGGGAAAAAAGTGCTCGAGATTTGTGCCAAGACCGTCGCTGTGGTCTCTTTATGGAAATAGCAGCACGTTCCACTCCGTCCACCAACACTGACCTTTTTCAAACACGACAGAATCCCCCGCTGTGAAGGAAGCAGAGCTGTGCAAACCTGACATGGATCCTCCTGAGACCGGGCCGGCAGCTGCGTTTAAGAGCGCAGCAGGGGAAGTACCATGTTGGATCCTCCTGAGACCGGGCCGGCAGCTGCGTTTAAGAGCGCAGCAGGGGAAGTACCATGTGTGCATTTTGATCACGCCACTAGTTTTTATCGTTTTGTTCTGTCTGACATTCTACTGCTGCAAAGTCAAGAAAAGGTCAAACAGGTGAGTAGTCTGAGCGAGACTGTAGGGAGACTGTAGGGAGACTGTAGGGAGACTGTAGGGAGACTGTAGGGAGACTGTAGGGAGACTGTAGGGAGACTGTAGGGAGACTGTAGGGAGACTGTAGGGAGACTGTAGGGAGACTGTTGGGAGACTGTTGGGAGACTGTTGGGAGACTGTTGGGAGACTGTTGGGAGACTGTTGGGAGACTGTTGGGAGACTGTTGGGAGACTGTTGGGAGACTGTTGGGAGACTGTTGGGAGACTGTAGGGAGACTGTAGGGAGACTGTAGGGAGACTGTAGGGAGACTGTTGGGAGACTGTTGGGAGACTGTAGGGAGACTGTAGGGAGACTGTAGGGAGACTGTAGGGAGACTGTAGGGAGACTGTAGGGAGACTGTAGGGAGACTGTAGGGAGACTGTTGGGAGACTGTTGGGAGACTGTTGGGAGACTGTTGGGAGACTGTTGGGAGACTGTTGGGAGACTGTTGGGAGACTGTTGGGAGACTGTTGGGAGACTGTTGGGAGACTGTTGGGAGACTGTAGGGAGACTGTAGGGAGACTGTAGGGAGACTGTAGGGAGACTGTAGGGAGACTGTAGGGAGACTGTTGGGAGACTGTTGGGAGACTGTAGGGAGACTGTTGGGAGACTGTAGGGAGACTGTAGGGAGACTGTAGGGAGACTGTAGGGAGACTGTAGGGAGACTGTAGGGAGACTGTTGGGAGACTGTTGGGAGACTGTAGGGAGACTGTAGGGAGACTGTAGGGAGACTGTTGGGAGACTGTTGGGAGACTGTTGGGAGACTGTTGGGAGACTGTTGGGAGACTGTTGGGAGACTGTTGGGAGACTGTTGGGAGACTGTTGGGAGACTGTTGGGAGACTGTTGGGAGACTGTTGGGAGACTGTTGGGAGACTGTTGGGAGACTGTTGGGAGACTGTTGGGAGACTGTTGGGAGACTGTTGGGAGACTGTTGGGAGACTGTAGGGAGACTGTAGGGAGACTGTAGGGAGACTGTAGGGAGACTGTAGGGAGACTGTTGGGAGACTGTTGGGAGACTGTTGGGAGACTGTTGGGAGACTGTTGGGAGACTGTTGGGAGACTTTAGTCCGTGTGAACCAGGTCAGCCTCAGAGTTTATCACAGCATAACAAGTTTCAAAACAGCAGTTTGGACAGAAGGGGAGGGGGGACATGTTTGTGCCAGACAGAGACCAGAGAGAGAGACCAGAGAGAGAGACCAGAGAGAGAGACCAGAGAGAGAGACCAGAGAGAGAGACCAGAGAGAGACCAGAGAGAGACCAGAGAGAGAGACCAGAGAGAGAGACCAGAGATGCATCTTCAGCTTTTTCAGATAGACACCTCTGCTCTGTTGTTGCCATGTCTTTGCACAGCTCTGCTCTTTTCGGGGGATTTCACAGACAATAGTTTCTGTAAAACACTGGAGCAGAGCGAGATCTCGTCTGCGGCGAGATGACCCAGCAGCCTCAGTTCAGTCGACTCTGCCACTCTGCCTGACCTCTTGATGTCGCTCCGATGGCAACTAACTTGTAATTAATTATTTTTTCTTCTTTTGGCTTGAAATAGTCTTGAGACCTGGCGCCCGGCTGCAGAGTCTGGCGCCCGCTACAGGGAGCTCTGCTCGTGTTCAATCACTTTTTATTGAGTTTGAATCGTTCAGTGTCGTCTCCTGCAAGAGACGAGGAAGAGATTAGGAACTGCTGCTGCTACTGCTGCTGCTGCTACTGCTGCTACTGCTGCTGCTGCTGCTGCTACTGCTGCTGCTGCTACTGCTGCTACTGCTGCTACTACTGCTGCTGCTGCTGCTACTGCTGCTGCTGCTGCTGCTGCTGCTACTACTGCTACTACTGCTGCTGCTGCTGCTACTACTGCTACTGCTGCTACTGCTACTACTGCTGCTACTGCTACTACTGCTGCTACTGCAGTCTGCTGCTGCTGTACCTGAGATGTTGGTCACATGACTCATGTGACCAGAGTCAGTCAAAGGGATGCTCCGGACAACAGGGCTTCACCTTGGACCAGGAGTCGATGCAGCTGAAACACACACACAGACAGACACACACACACACACACACTTGTTCATTTTAATTCATATTCCCAATGCAAGAAGTGGTCCTAATAGTCTCCTCTCCGCCTGCGCGGCCTCCCCCTCTCCTCTCCTCTGCGCGGCCTCCCCCCCTCTCCTCTCCTCTGCGCGCCTCCCCCCTCTCCTCTCCGCCTGCGCGCCCTCCCCCTCTCCTCTCCGCCTGCGCGGCCTCCCCCTCTCCTCTCCCTGCGCGGCCTCCCCCTCTCCTCTCCGCCTGCGCGCCTCCCCCTCTCCTCTCCGCCTGCGCGGCCTCCCCCTCTCCTCTCCAGCCTGCGCGGCCTCCCCCTCCCTCTCCGCCTGCGGCCTCCCCCTCTCCTCTCCGCCTGCGCGGCCTCCCCCTCTCCTCTCCGCCTGCGCGGCCTCCCCCCCTCTCCTCTCCCCTGCGCGGCCTCCCCTCTCCTCTCCGCCTGCGCGGCCTCCCCCTCTCCTCTCCGCCTGCGCGGCCTCCCCCTCTCCTCTCCGCCTGCGCGGCCTCCCCCTCTCCTCTCCGCCTGCGCGGCCCTCCCCCTCTCCTCTCCCGCCTGCGCGGCCTCCCCCTCTCCTCTCCGCCTGCGCGGCCTCCCCCTCTCCTCTCCGCCTGCGCGGCCTCCCCCTCTCCTCTCCGCCTGCGCGGCCTCCCCCTCTCCTCTCCGCCTGCGCGGCCTCCCCCTCTCCTCTCCGCCTGCGCGGCCTCCCCCTCTCCTCTCCGCCTGCGCGGCCTCCCCCTCTCCTCTCCGCCTGCGCGGCCCCCCCCTCTCCTCTCCGCCTGCGCGGCCTCCCCCTCTCCTCTCCGCCTGCGCGGCCTCCCCCTCTCCTCTCCGCCTGCGCGGCCTCCCCCTCTCCTCTCCGCTGCGCGGCCTCCCCCTCTCCTCTCTCCGCCTGCGCGGCTCCCCCCCTCTCCTCTCCGCCTGCGCGCCTCCCCCTCTCCTCTCCGCGCGCCCTCCCCCTCTCCTCTCCCGCGCCTGCCCTCCCCCTCTCCTCTCCGCCTGCGCGGCCTCCCCCTCTCCTCTCCGCCTGCGCGGCCTCCCCCTCTCCTCTCCGCCTGCGCGGCCTCCCCCTCTCCTCTCCGCCTGCGCGGCTCCCCTCTCCTCTCGCCTGCGCTGGCCTCCCCCTCTCCTCTCCGCCTGCGCGGCCTCCCCCTCTCCTCTCCGCCTGCGCGGCCTCCCCCTCTCCTCTCCGCCTGCGCGGCCTCCCCCTCCCCTCTCCGCCTGCGCGGCCTCCCCCTCTCCTCTCCGCCTGCGCGGCCTCCCCCTCTCCTCTCCCGCCTGCGCGGCCTCCCCCTCTCCTCTCCGCCTGCGCGGCCTCCCCCTCTCCTCTCCGCCTGCGCGGCCTCCCCCTCTCCTCTCCGCTCGCGGCTCCCCTCTCCTCTCCGCTGCGCGGCCTCCCCCTCTCCTCTCCGCCTGCGCGGCCTCCCCCTCTCCTCTCCGCCTGCGCGGCCTCCCCCTCTCCTCTCCGCCTGCGCGGCCTCCCCCTCTCCTCTCCGCCCTGCGCGGCCTCCCCCTCCTCCTCTCCGCCTGCGCGGCCTCCCCCTCTCCTCTCCGCCTGCGCGGCCTCCCCCTCTCCTCTCCGCCTGCGCGGCCTCCCCCTCTCCTCTCCGCCTGCGCGGCCTCCCCCTCTCCTCCGCCTGCGCGGCCTCCCCCTCTCCTCTGCGCGGCCTCCCCCTCTCCTCTGCGCGGCCTCCCCCTCTCTCTCTGCGTGGCCTCCCCCTCTGGTACCTCTTGTGGTAGACGCAGAGACAGGCCAGGCGGGCGATGGTCTCCCCCTGGACCAGGTCCTCCAGGCAGATGGAACACTCCCCACTGTCCTTACTGAGGACATCCGCTGCACAGAGACACAGGGTTACAGAGGCAGAGAGGAGACAGAGGCAGAGAGGAGACAGAGACACAGGGTTACAGAGAGGAGACAGAGACACAGGGTTACAGAGGCAGAGAGGAGACAGAGGCAGAGAGGAGACAGAGACACAGGGTTACAGAGACAGAGAGGAGACAGAGACAGAGAGGAGACAGAGACACAGGGTTAGAGGCAGAGAGGAGACAGAGACACAGGGTTACAGAGGCAGAGAGGAGACAGAGACAGAGAGGAGACAGAGACACAGGGTTAGAGGCAGAGAGGAGACAGAGACACAGGGTTACAGAGACAGAGAGGAGACAGAGACACAGGGTTACAGAGGCAGAGAGGAGACAGAGACAGAGAGGAGACAGAGACACAGGGTTACAGAGACAGAGAGGAGACAGAGGCAGAGAGGAGACAGAGGCAGAGAGGAGACAGAGACACAGGGTTAGAGGCAGAGAGGAGACAGAGACACAGGGTTACAGAGGCAGAGAGGAGACAGAGACACAGGGTTACAGAGACAGAGAGGAGACAGAGACAGAGAGGAGACAGAGACACAGGGTTACAGAGGCAGAGAGGAGACAGAGACACAGGGTTACAGAGACAGAGAGGAGACAGAGACAGAGAGGAGACAGAGACACAGGGTTAGAGGCAGAGAGGAGACAGAGACACAGGGTTACAGAGGCAGAGAGGAGACAGAGACACAGGGTTACAGAGGCAGAGAGGAGACAGAGACAGAGAGGAGACAGAGACACAGGGTTAGAGGCAGAGAGGAGACAGAGACACAGGGTTACAGAGACAGAGAGGAGACAGAGACACAGGGTTACAGAGGCAGAGAGGAGACAGAGGCAGAGAGGAGACAGAGACACAGGGTTACAGAGGCAGAGAGGAGACAGAGACAGAGAGGAGACAGAGACACAGGGTTACAGAGACAGAGAGGAGACAGAGGCAGAGAGGAGACAGAGGCAGAGACAGAGGACACAGACAGAGAGAGACAGGCACAGGACACAGAATCTGCTCGCTCTCTCCCTCTGCTCTCTGACAAGAGAGAGACCAGAGAGAGAGAGAGAGCGCAAAGAGAGAGACCAGAGAGAGCCCAGAGAGTGAGTGAGAGCCCAAAGAGAGAAACCAGAGAGAGAGAGACCAAGACGCATCCGTTACATCGTCAGAAAAGTTCTGAGTAGAGCCAGTTCTCTGATGAGACTAAGACCAGTGGAGTCTGATTTGTCCGCGACACTTTAAGACAAAGAGAAACGTGCCATACATAAAGAGTCTTACTGTTGTAGGGCAGAGGCGGCGACGTGAGGCAGCTCAGCAGGTGCTCCTCGATACGGCCTCCTGGGAACGCCTTGGAGCAGAACGGACAGCGGATATCTGCAACACAATACTTTGTATCAACACAACAACACACAATTCTTCACGAAAGACAATAATAAAAGCTAACAAGACACTGCAGGGATTGGCCGCCCTCTCCCCGGGTCAGATCTGAGGACCACCAGCTCCAAAGGGAGGGGTCTCTCTCACACGTGTGTCTGAGCCATGGATCTATGATAATAACTGTATAGAGTATTACTAGCTTACAGCTGTCCCACCCATGGCCACAGGGGGCGCTGTGGTACTGCAGACTACATTCACATGGGCAACCCAGAAAAAAGTCCAGAACTCAATGTAAACTAAAACAGATCGACCTGAGCTGACAGAGAACCTGACAGAGAACCTGACAGAGAACCTACATCTTTCATAAAGATCAGATTTTGTGTGGATGTTAGTGTCTCTTGTCGTCCTGAACTTTTTCTTCTTAAATCCTTCGGTTTTCTTTAAATCCACACTTTACTGCCACAAACTCTGCTCCTTTCCTTCCCGCTCTGACTCCACTCTACCGCTGCTCTGATTGGTCAGAGCGCGGCCGAGCCCCTCTGTGCACGTGCCTGAGAGCCACACACGTGTATATGGCGCAAAGCATCATGGGAGAATCCACTGCGCAGAACCAGACGATGCCCAAATATGGGCGAGTTCCTCTGATATGTCAGCGCCCGTGAAGTCCCATGAGCCACTGAGCCAAGCCATTCAATTGAATAGGGCGCCATTTTGGCCCACCGGGGCTTGGTCTGAGCTCGCCACTTTTCGTCAGAACAAATTCCCATATAAGTAAATTGGCTCTAGCTAGCTTATGTTAAAATCAGCCTCTTCCACATTAAGGCTAACACTATGTCACAGTCCTCTCCTAATACAGTCTATGACCAGTGGCAAAAGCAGTCATATCGACTGCCATTAAAGGTCCAAATCACCTTTCAGACAGTAAGGACCTCCGGTTGTCATGGAAACCTCACAAAGAACCTGTCTGAGAATGTGGTGGAAGCGTGCGAGAGATCATCTGTGCAGGAACGTGAGAGAATAATCCGTGGGAGTAAAGACTCGTGCAGGAGCCACGCACTGACTGCTCACTGTGGCTGCATTTATTATCAAATACATGACATCTATCAAGTGTCTGTTTCTCTGCATGTGATTGGAGGACCACTGGCCCTCCCACTTCCTGGAGGTTGACTGTTCCTGGCTCTGATTGGAGGAGCGGCTCTACACTGGGCGAATCCAGAGTCCTCAGCTGGAGTCCTACATTATGATTGTGTTTGGTCTTGTTGGAGTTTTGAGTTAGTGTCAGTCTGCCGCCAACACAAACTAACCATTGAGGCCCTTTCACAGCATCATCCAGCCCACTTCAGCTCCACCTGTGTGGTCATGTTGTGCCTGTACTGTGCTTCTGATCGTGTCTGAGAGCTGCGGCCTCGAACTGCTCTGGTTGTGTTTTGTGGCTGTGTTAGAGTCAACAGTTACATTACTTTGACCCCCCCCTCCCCCAGAGCAGGGTCTTGACAGTAACATCTATATTTATTCTCTGAGTGTGTTTCCCATCCTCGTTGTTTACACTTCCTGTAAACGCAGAGACCCTCCCACTTCTCCAAACTCCCGTCACACTGAACAGAAACAGACAGTTTAGAAATGTCGAGGTTATTTGAAGGTCCCATGCTTCTCAGCAGCAGGATCATAATGTGGGTAATACAAACACTCCACTTGCACAGAGGTGATGTCACATGTTAAACAGCAGGATCCATCATAGAGCGGTGTCCAAACAGCTCTATGGAATCTGGACAGAAGTAAACCCTAACAAACTATCTATTCATGCCTAAACATAACCAGCCATTCCCATAAAATAACCACCAACCCACCTTAACCATCTTACTCAGACCCACCTTAACCTTAACCTTAACCATCTTACTCAGACCCACCTTAACCTTAACCTTAACCATCTTACTCAGACCCACCTTAACCTTAACCATCTTACTCAGACCACCTTAAACCTAACCTTAACCATCTTACTCAGACCACCTTAACCCTAACCTTAACCATCTTACTCAGACCACCTTAACCTTAACCATCTTACTCAGACCACCTTAACCTTAACCATCTTACTCAGACCACCTTAAACCTAACCTTAACCATCTTACTCAGACCACCTTAAACCTAACCTTAACCATCTTACTCAGACCACCTTAATCCTAACCTTAACCATCTTACTCAGACCACCTTAACCTTAACCATCTTACTCAGACCACCTTAAACCTAACCTTAACCATCTTACTCAGACCACCTTAAACCTAACCTTAACCATCTTACTCAGACCACCTTAACCCTAACCTTAACCATCTTACTCAGACCACCTTAACCCTAACCTTAACCATCTTACTCAGACCACCTTAAACCTAACCTTAACCATCTTACTCAGACCACCTTAACCCTAACCTTAACCATCTTACTCAGACCACCTTAACCCTAACCTTAACCGTCTTACTCAGACCACCTTAACCCTAACCTTAACCATCTTACTCAGACCACCTTAACCCTAACCTTAACCATCTGACTCAGACCACCTTAAACCTAACCTTAACCATCTTACTCAGACCACCTTAAACCTAACCTTAACCATCTTACTCAGACCACCTTAACCCTAACCTTAACCATCTTACTCAGACCACCTTAACCCTAACCTTAACCATCTTACTCAGACCACCTTAACCCTAACCTTAACCATCTTACTCAGACCACCTTAACCCTAACCTTAACCATCTTACTCAGACGCCTAAAACTTAAAGCTGCACTAACTGACTTTGAGATTTTGAAGCCGTGGACTCGCTGGCCTCTCTCTTTCTGCTCCCCTCCCCGCACCCACGAAACTATCGCCCCCCACACACACACTCACTGTTGGGACGCAGCTAGTGTCTCTCAATATGGATAATACATGGATATGGATTTGCACGTGGATGGCGTGACCATAGAACGATAGAACCGGGAAGCGCGGAGGAACGGGACTTTCTTTTGGATGGCTGTCTCGCTGTGTAAGCAGTAACAGGTGACGAAGACGAGGAAGCTTCAGGTTAGCTCCTCGGCTTGTTGTGCTAACTCAGCTGTCTATGCTAACAGGGACCTGTAGATTTCTCACGAAAGTGGGGGCCAGTGGTGCGTTGTGATTGGTCACAATCCGCGACCCGAAACACATTCTCTTCCTTGTTTCATCAAAACTCGATCTAAAATATAATGTCACGCCAGCACAAATCTGCGCTACTGTTTCTTCAAAAGGACATATATCCCAATGCACTACATGGACATGGATAGCATTTTAGTAATGAATACAAAAATAAAGTCAGTTAGTGCAGCTTTAACCAGTCACCACTTAAGGACTTTTTAGTCTAAAACAAATTCGAAAGTATGATTGTTACTTCCGGTTTCGTCCCGATTCCGTTGATCCAAGATGGCGCCCTGTTCAAATGAATGGCTTGGCTCAGTGGCTCATGGGACTTCACGGGCGCCGACATATCAGAGGAACTCGCCCATATTTGGGCATCGCCTGGTCCTCCCGGTTCTGCACAGTGGACGAGCTCCCATGATGCTTAGCACCAAATACACGTGTGGCTCTCATGCACGTGCACAGAAGGCTCGGCCGCGCTTTGACCAATCAGAGGGCAGCGTTCTGACCAATCAGAGCTGCTGATCAGAGCGGGAAGGAAAGGAGCAGAGTTTGTGGCAGTAAAGTGTGGATTTAAAGAGAACTGAAGGATTTAAGAAGAAAAAAAGTTCAGGACGACAAGAGACACTAACATCCACACAAAATAAGATCATTCTGAAAGCTGTAGGTTCTCTGTCAGGTTCTCCGTCAGCTGAGGTTGAGCTGGTTTAGTTTAGATCGAGTTTTCCTGGGTGACGTGAATTTAGTCTGCAGTACCACAGCGCCCCCTGTGGCCATGGGTGGGACAGCTATAAGCTGTAATACCCTATCCAGTATTTATTATTATAGATCCATCTGAAGCAGATGTGGGACCTTTAATGTCTGAGGTCCAGAAGGTCCTCAGGGTGCTAACTCATATTCTTCAGGTTTATTCTATGGAAAATTTTACTTTATAAGAATCTCAGAGTCATGTGCTATTTATGAAACAAAAACTAGGAACCACAGCTTTAAGTCCTGAGATGAGAAGTCAGACGGCTGAGAGCTTTAAAGAGAACAGTGAGTAATAATACTAGTAATACTGTGAGTAATCCTGAGTGTCTGCAGAGTAAGACTGGGATCAGAGAATTCATCCTCTGTCTTTCTTTAAAACAGTCAGACACAGATGAGAAACCTCTAATCATCGAAAATGGATCAGAAGTGTTAAATACATGGTAGGACCCTGGTCCACAGACCAGCGCCAGCGTCTAAAGGTTTGGTCCGTGGTTCTGAGGGAGATCACCGAGACACGAGACTGGGATGTTAGAGAGATTTGTATCATCTAAACCGGGCTTTAGACTGTGCATGTGAGACAGCCCTAAACCGGGCTTTAGGCCGTGCATGTGAGACAGTCCTAAACCGGGCTTTAGACTGTGCATGTGAGACAGCCCTAAACCGGGCTTTAGACTGTGCATGTGAGACAGCCCTAAACCGGGCTTTAGGCCGTGCATGTGAGACAGTCCTAAACCGGGCTTTAGACTGTGCATGTGAGACAGTCCTAAACCGGGCTTTAGACTGTGCATGTGAGACAGCCCTAAACCGGGCTTTAGACTGCATGTGAGACAGTCCTAAACCGGGCTTTAGACTGTGCATGTGAGACAGTCCTAAACCGGGCTTTAGACTGTGCATGTGAGACAGTCCTAAACCGGGCTTTAGACTGTGCATGTGAGACAGCCCTAAACCGGGCTTTAGACTGTGCATGTGCGACAGCCCTAAACCGGGCTTTAGACTGTGCATGTGAGACAGTCCTAAACCGGGCTTTAGACTGTGCATGTGAGACAGTCCTAAACCGGGCTTTAGACTGTGCATGTGAGACAGCCCTAAACCGGGCTTTAGACCGTGCATGTGAGACAGCCCTAAACCGGGCTTTAGACCGTGCATGTGAGACAGCCCTAAACCGGGCTTAAGGCCGTGCATGTGAGACAGCCCTAAACCGGGCTTTAGACTGTGCATGTGAGACAGTCCTAAACCGGGCTTTAGACTGTGCATGTGAGACAGCCCTAAACCGGGCTTTAGACTGTGCATGTGAGACAGCCCTAAACCGGGCTTTAGACTGTGCATGTGAGACAGCCCTAAACCGGGCTTTAGACTGTGCATGTGAGACAGCCCTAAACCGGGCTTTGGGCCGTGCATGTGAGACAGCCCTAAACCGGGCTTTAGACTGTGCATGTGAGACAGCCCTAAACCGGGCTTAAGGCCGTGCATGTGAGACAGCCCTAAACCGGGCTTTAGACTGTGCATGTGAGACAGCCCTAAACCGGGCTTAAGGCCGTGCATGTGAGACAGCCCTAAACCGGGCTTTAGACTGTGCATGTGAGACAGCCCTAAACCGGGCTTAAGGCCGTGCATGTGAGACAGCCCTAAACCGGGCTTTAGACTGTGCATGTGAGACAGCCCTAAACCGGGCTTTAGACTGTGCATGTGAGACAGCCCTAAACCGGGCTTAAGGCCGTGCATGTGAGACAGTCCTAAACCGGGCTTTAGACTGTGCATGTGAGACAGCCCTAAACCGGGCTTTAGACTGTGCATGTGAGACAGCCCTAAACCGGGCTTTAGACTGTGCATGTGAGACAGCCCTAAACCGGGCTTTGGGCCGTGCATGTGAGACAGCCCTAAACCGGGCTTTAGACTGTGCATGTGAGACAGCCCTAAACCGGGCTTTGGGCCGTGCATGTGAGACAGCCCTAAACCGGGCTTTGGGCCGTGCATGTGAGACAGAGCAGACACTGGATCCTGTTCGGACTCAGTGTCAGCAGATTCTGGAACAATGTCCAGGATCAGAGAGCGGTGGAATGATTGATCGTCAATAATCACTGTCCATTTATCAGACCTGAACTACAGATGATCTGTGAGAAGAATGGTCCAAAATTCCTTTACCAGAATCCAGACAGTCTTTTGTGGCGTCTACATTTATGCACAAGATCATTTGGTTTGAACAATTCTTCCTGTGAATGATACAAACTGTGTCCTGTGGTACAAAGGAAACGGACGGTTCTGATCCAGACCACTGTATGTATTTACAAGACCAGAGAGAGACCAGAGAGAGAGACCAGAGAGAGCCCAGAGAGAGAGACCAGAGAGAGACCAGAGAGAGACCAGAGAGAAAGAGACTAGAGAGAAAGAGAGAGAAAAAGAGAGAGAGAAAAAGAAAGAGAGAGAGAAAGAAAGAGAGAGAAAGAGAGAAAGAGAGAGAAAGAGAGAAAGAGAGAAAGAGAGAAAGAGAGAGAAAGAGAGAAAGAGAGAAAGAGAAAGAGAGAAAGAGAGAAAGAGAGAAAGAGAGAAAGAGAAAGAGAAAAAAAAGAAGAATCACGGCTAACAGCCGTGTCACACAAGTTGTGACTGGTCTCCTTTGGCCCAGACTCACTGGCTGCTCTTCCCTCCCCGCCCGAGAGCCGCCTCAGTCCTGGGTCTACGGCCCTCAGTCCTGGGTCTACGGCCCTCAGTCCTGGGTCTACGGCCCTCAGTCCTGGGTCTACGGCCCTCAGTCCTGGGTCTACGGCCCTCAGTCCTGGGTCTACGGCCCTCAGTCCTGGGTCTACGGCCCTCAGTCCTGGGTCTACGGCCCTCATTCCTGGGTCTACGGCCCTCAGTCCTGGGTCTACGGCCCTCAGTCCTGGGTCTACGGCCCTCAGTCCTGGGTCTACGGCCCTCAGTCCTGGGTCTGCTGTGATTCAGGGCGACAGATACATTGAGGTCTTACTTCCGTGGCGGTTATTGACCCGGTAGAGCCCGATCCAGGCCTCGGACACTGGCCGCGGGTGTCGGACTCTGGCAGAGCGCGCGCCAACGCTGCGGGAGGAGGAGTGCCGTGCACCGGGCAAACGCTCGGAGAAGGTGCGCTGCGGCGTGCGGACGGACCCCTCAGGCTCCGCAGGGGCCTCTGGGCTCACGTCCTCCTCTGCCGGCCTCACCACCCCCCCAGGGAAGGCCTAGGACAGACACACGTAGCAATCAGAGAGAGCGTTAGTGTCTGAGACCAGAGAGAGACCAGACAGACCAGAGAGAGACCAGAGAGAGACCAGAGAGAGACCAGAGAGAGACCAGAGAGAGACCAGACAGACCAGAGAGAGACCAGAGAGAGACCAGAGAGAGACCAGACAGACCAGAGGAAGAGACCAGAGAGAGAGACCAGAGAGAGACCAGAGAGAGACCAGACAGACCAGAGAGAGACCAGAGAGAGACCAGACAGACCAGAGGAAGAGACCAGAGAGAGAGACCAGAGAGAGAGAGACAAAGTCTGTCTGCATCACTCTGACATTTCAAACTCTTAGGACCCACAGATGATCTGAGTCCAGTCTGAACCTGAGACCTGAGGAAATGGGCGGAGTCTGTGCTTTTGACAAAACCTTTTAAAAGAACCTTATTCTAACTTGTAAGAAGGAGTTTCTCACACGTCCTTCACACACCTGTAGATCTAAGTCTAACCTTCTTCTGCAAACACACACTTCATTGTAAATATATTATTAGTGGAGTCAGACCGCTGCAGAGTGCACTTCCTCAGAGCACTTCACTTTTGGTACATTTCATCTGCATACTGAGAGCTGATTGGCTGAGTGAGGGTGGTCCTCTGCAAAACCATGTCATGTGAGGATAAACGACTTCTGTGTGAAAACTATTGATGGAAGTGAACCGTTTTGGGTCCGGGGTCTGCAGCCTCGGTCCTGGGTCTGCAGCCTGGGTCCTGGGTCTGCAGCCTGGGTCCTGGGTCTGCAGCCTGGGTCCTGGGTCTGCAGCCTGGGTCCTGGGTCTGCAGCCTCGGTCCTGGGTCTGCAGCCTCGGTCCTGGGTCTGCAGCCTCGGTCCTGGGTCTGCAGCCTCGGTCCTGGGTCTGCAGCCTCGGTCCTGGGTCTGCAGCCTCGGTCCTGGGTCTGCAGCCTCGGTCCTGGGTCTGCAGCCTCGGTCCTGGGTCTGCAGCCTCGGTCCTGGGTCTGCAGCCTCGGTCCTGGGTCTGCAGCCTCGGTCCTGGGTCTGCAGCCTCGGTCCTGGGTCTGCAGCCTCGGTCCTGGGTCTGCAGCCTCGGTCCTGGGTCTGCAGCCTCGGTCCTGGGTCTGCAGCCTCGGTCCTGGGTCTGCAGCCTCGGTCCTGGGTCTGCAGCCTCGGTCCTGGGTCTGCAGCCCTCGCCTCGGTCCTGGGTCTGCAGCCTCGGTCCTGGGTCTGCAGCCTCGGTCCTGGGTCTGCAGCCTCGGTCCTGGGTCTACAGCCTCAGTCCTGGGTCTACAGCCTCAGTCCTGGGTCTACAGCCTCAGTCCTGGGTCTACAGCCTCAGTCCTGGGTCTACAGCCTCAGTCCTGGGTCTACAGCCTCAGTCCTGGGTCTACAGCCTCAGTCCTGGGTCTACAGCCTCAGTCCTGGGTCTACAGCCTCAGTCCTGGGTCTACAGCCTCAGTCCTGGGTCTACAGCCTCAGTCCTGGGTCTACAGCCTCAGTCCTGGGTCTACAGCCTCAGTCCTGGTCTACAGCCTCAGTCCTGGGTCTACAGCCTCAGTCCTGGGTCTACAGCCTCAGTCCTGGGTCTACAGCCTCAGTCCTGGGTCTACAGCCTCAGTCCTGGGTCTACAGCCTCAGTCCTGGGTCTACAGCCTCAGTCCTGGGTCTACAGCCTCAGTCCTGGTCTACAGCCTCAGTCCTGGGTCTACAGCCTCAGTCCTGGTCTACAGCCTCAGTCCTGGGTCTACAGCCTCAGTCCTGGGTCTACAGCCTCAGTCCTGGGTCTACAGCCTCAGTCCTGGGTCTACAGCCTCAGTCCTGGGTCTACAGCCTCAGTCCTGGGTCTACAGCCTCAGTCCTGGGTCTACAGCCTCAGTCCTGGGTCTACAGCCTCAGTCCTGGGTCTACAGCCTCAGTCCTGGGTCTACAGCCTCAGTCCTGGGTCTACAGCCTCAGTCCTGGGTCTACAGCCTCAGTCCTGGGTCTACAGCCTCAGTCCTGGGTCTACAGCCTCAGTCCTGGGTCTGCAGCCTCAGTCCTGGGTCTACAGCCTCAGTCCTGGGTCTACAGCCTCAGTCCTGGGTCTACAGCCTCAGTCCTGGGTCTACAGCCTCAGTCCTGGGTCTACAGCCTCAGTCCTGGGTCTACAGCCTCAGTCCTGGGTCTACAGCCTCAGTCCTGGGTCTACAGCCTCAGTCCTGGGTCTACAGCCTCAGTCCTGGGTCTACAGCCTCAGTCCTGGGTCTACAGCCTCAGTCCTGGGTCTACAGCCTCAGTCCTGGGTCTACAGCCTCAGTCCTGGGTCTACAGCCTCAGTCCTGGGTCTACAGCCTCAGTCCTGGGTCTACAGCCTCAGTCCTGGGTCTACAGCCTCAGTCCTGGTCTACAGCCTCAGTCCTGGTCTACAGCCTCAGTCCTGGGTCTACAGCCTCAGTCCTGGGTCTACAGCCTCAGTCCTGGGTCTACAGCCTCAGTCCTGGGTCTACAGCCTCAGTCCTGGGTCTACAGCCTCAGTCCTGGTCTACAGCCTCAGTCCTGGGTCTACAGCCTCAGTCCTGGGTCTACAGCCTCAGTCCTGGGTCTGCAGCCTCAGTCCTGGGTCTACAGCCTCAGTCCTGGGTCTACAGCCTCAGTCCTGGGTCTACAGCCTCAGTCCTGGGTCTACAGCCTCAGTCCTGGGTCTACAGCCTCAGTCCTGGGTCTACAGCCTCAGTCCTGGGTCTACAGCCTCAGTCCTGGGTCTACAGCCTCAGTCCTGGGTCTGCAGCCTCAGTCCTGGGTCTATAGCCTCAGTCCTGGGTCTACAGAGGTTGACACTGGTGGTTCCGGTATTCATGATTCTGTCAGTAATTACAACATGTGTTCACTGGTTTCTTGGTCAAAGACAAAGGAAAAGGATGTTAGAGAGTCAGAGTGATGACGATGCTCTGTTGATACTTGGCTAACATCATGCTAACAGTTAGCATGCTATTGCGTTAGCATGCTATTGCGTTAGCATGCTAACGCAATAGCATGCTAACAGTTAGCATGCTATTGCGTTAGCATGCTAACGTCTCCTCTTCAGTAAAAGTTCCTTTATTAAAACACTTCTCTGGGAGGAAAGAGCAGGTGGTAGAAGCAGAGGGTCAGTAACAGAGATGATGCTTTTACTGCACATGAGTTGGACTCAGTAGAACCATTAGAACCATGTCCTGTTCTGTTTCAGTGACAGCTCAGAGTCTAGACTTTAAATGTGTTCGAATCTCTGCAAAGGCCAGTCCTCGGTCAGACTCTGGCGGAGACAGTATTACAGTAATAATAGTAATATATAGGTTAGTGATATAGTTGTAGAGGGGCCGCAGACACTCACGTTTGGCCTGCTGTAGGTTCGACTCCCCCAGAGCTTTTCGAGCTCCATTCTTCTTATCACTGGGGTTTTTAGTCCCTCCGGGGTTGCTGCTCTTCTTTCCCTTCTTCACCACTTCCCATTTCCCCGCAGACGCATTGTTTGAAGCCATTGTTTGTCCAGAACAGAGAGTTTGTGAATGTGACTGGACCTGAGCCTCAAAGCGCTGTGGGCTGCACTTCCTGTTCACGTCACGTCAGCGTATACGTCAGCGTCGCGTTACGTCAGCGTGCCACGTCTCTCTGCGGCGTGACGTAGACACTTTCAAAAGTCTGTGCTATTATTTATTGGTAACAAAACTCTAAAACCAGAGACATTGCTTTAGACCTCCCAGAGCCGTCATTCTGCTCTCACTCAAACCTATGAATATTGAACATTTACAAAAATGTTTCCATCGGTTTTATTCAAAGTCATTTTTAAGGTTTTAACCTTTAGTTCTTTTAATAAGAACTAAAACTGATGAATACAACTTTAAATACAGAAAAACAGTTTGGTGAAAGGCTATAAGATGCTAACTGGTAAGTAAACAGTGTGTTGCTATGGTAACTAGCTCTTGCATTTCTCTGGTGGGAAAACCAAGAGTCTGGGAGTCAAAGGAAGAACTGCACATTCACATTTAAGACATAAAAGATGATTTCATAAACATAACTTGTAAATGAATAAAGTACATACAGTAAAAAGTGTCCATAAGCAGAGTTCTTATGTTAATTTGATCCCTACGTCTATCGTCCTATCTGTGTCTTTTCTTGTTTACATTTTCTTTCATGCCCTTATGCAAGTTTTTAATCCACTCTTCCTTGTGGCAGTGGTGGTAACTCAGGGAGGATGAAGTAGTTAGCACTTGTTGTGAGTGTTTGTGAGTGTGATTGTGGACCAAAGGATCCAAATCAAACCAATCCTTCTGTTCATTCCCATCTGAATGGGAAGTGTTCTGCCCAAAGACACAGTGACAGTTTAGCACTTTACAGCCTCACACTTCAGGGTGGCGGTCTCCCATCACAGCACTGCCGAGCGTCTGATTCACATGACAAAAAGAGAAGAGAATTTCCTGAACCTCAGAGCTTTATTTCATTCCAGCAGTAACTCAAAATGATGAAGTTCAACACGAGCCAAAACAACAAACTGGGAGAGGGCATCTGTCCAGCTGTTACTGCGCTGGTTTAAGTTAGTCAATAAATATTATAAAACAGAATAGATAGCAGCTAAAATGTTTAACACAGTCAAACATTAGTATTTAGTAGTGCCTGTCTGTCACGTTTAAGCCGGATGCTTTACGATAAATAACTTCAGTGAAACCTCGGACTTGGCTTTTGAGCAAATCAAACCCAAAAACAACAAATCTATAAAATTGCATCTTTCCTGTATTGTTCTGGCTGCGGATCTTTTCACACAGTTGCTACATTTAGTGCAAGACTTTAAAACTCCCCAAATCCAAAACCACATTATTCTCAGAAAGTGTGTAGCGCAGATAAAAAATGAACATAAATAAATAATGAAAAATAGAACATGCCGTCGTATAAACAAGCGTTAACCATTAAGAGCAGCGACAGCTTCAAAGTCTGCGATATGTCCGTAGGTTTGATGAGTTCATGAAATATGCTGAAAATATATATATTTATAAATGCAAAATTGCAGCCGTTTCCTAAAATGGACTGTTCTGCTTTATAAGATACATTTGGATGTTGTACCCACGGGAGTAGATTTTACAAAAGTATTTTACATGAACTTTTCAACTGTTTGTTTGATAATCCATCTTCCTTGTGGTATGTTAAGACAAAATATTGTGCTATTCAGAAGCTATATATAAAATTCACATCAATTTGTACTGGTTGTATTTTCATAGATGGCACATTTGACTCCTTTTTGCTTCTCCAGACCCGGTGTCTATAGCTGAAGGTTAGAAACTGCCTCAGAGCAAACAAGCAGGACTCTCATGGAGAATATTCACATCATTTTGCTTTGAAAAAGTGCCCATTGAGTGTATCTGGTCAGACAGGCAGCACAGTTGGCTCCAGGCCACATGTGCAGGATTCATATTAATCTGAATGATACTCTGGCATCATGGGTAGTATCGGTTAAGCCAAAGCAGGCCGGAGTGTAGCGTCCATAGCTAGAGGCGGAGCAGACCAGGACATGTCTGAGGGAGACACAGGGAGTAGTGTGAAAAAGTGACTCAATCTTGGGACAGCTGTAGGGAGCAGGTTGGATGAGGAGGAGAGGGGCTGATGGGGGGGCATGGATATCAAAGTTTTAGTATTCTTCTTGATCTCGAGCGCCGTCTTCCAGATCCTCGTCTTCGGGTGGTGCGAAACCCTCCTGCAACAGACACAAGCACCAGTTTCAGGCAGAAAGTCTATATAACAGTTCCAAAACATACTGTCCATAAATCACCCCATTCTTATGTATTGAGTTTGGGAGCCCTCTAGTGGTAAGTGAGAATATAGCATAATAACAATCAGTAAACATTAGTGAAGTGATTGTGAAGTCCTCAGAGTTCTACTTTAGGGACATATCGGATGCACGGATGAACTTAAATCTTGTACTGCACTTTTCCACTTCAAAAAGATGTTTAAAACTACCATTTTGGATGGAACTTAGAATCACGACGTCTGTACAGGAGCTTATGTGAATCCATATTATACTAATGACACATGTGAAAAGAGAAGGCAAATAAGCATGGACACTCCATTATCTGAATAACTGCAACCTACACCTTTCTGTAAAGTGACTGCTCTGTTATGTTTTTATTGTACAAATGAGAAGTGGTAAGTGGAATATACAGTAGAACATAAATGATGTTATTTATTTAAATGACATCTACATTATGTGCAGTGCCAGAGTGCTGTACCTCTGTAGCGTACAGTATGTCTATGATCTTGGAGACAATTGTGCCGTTCTCGTTCTCGTGCTCTTGACAGATGACCTCGATGTCTCTCAGTTTTCCAAAGTAGAAGTCTCTTTCTTTCTCCAGGCCGTCCACGGTGAGCTTCATGTCCAGAAGCTTTGGGCAAAATCAAAACACAAGACAATTTAATCACAAATATCCACAAAGAATTAATAATAATTTATTTTTTCCATTTTCTTGTTTACTTCTTTTTCAGACTAAAAGTTTCCTCGAGCCTGATGTGACGTGTTTGAGTCGGTAACAAAAGGCCAGTTTCACCACATGTGCTGTTCTCAGTCACTCACGAGTATTTCCCAGAAGTCCCTCTGGCCTAAATAACGGTACGAGTTTTGTTTTAGATTCATCCCCAGTGTAGGGCGGGAAAAATCTATCACGATATGAGAAGGAGATATCACGATGTCATTAATACAAATGTGTGAATACAGTAAAATTCTTCAAAACTACATAAAATAATAATAACTAAATCTGTCTTATCGTTTGGTTTCATCACTAGTTTCCAGTATTTGTGGACTCAAATCTTTAGATCAGCTTTTTCAGACAGAAAAGTGAGTAGTAGTAGTGGTCTAATTTGTTATTGTGTTATTAAGACATTGGGACAAACAGATTTGGGTCAATGACACAGAAACTTCCTGAAATGTCCACAGCCAAATGTTCACAGACTCTTGTTTAATTCTTTGTTTGTCCAGTGGGGGGCGCACTACTTAAGGTTTGGACGTAACAAGAGGACAAAGTGTTACGTCCAAAATGGTTTGAGGTGAACGCCTGGGAAGGGTCGCTCTTTGCCCAGGTCTGCTGTAGACCATGAAACCTGTAGTCTGAGCTTTGGACCTCAGACTACATGCTCCGACGGTAACGATAAGATTGTCTCACAGTGGAGAAATGTCAGTGTCATCGTTGCACACATTAAAGCCTTAGAAAGGGTCAACAACAAATCACGGTGTCTCACTTAAAACCATCCCTGAAAATTCTTACCACCAAAATGTGCCGGTATTTCTGCTAACTACACATATCTCCCGGCCCTAACCCGGTCCATAATTCTAACTACACATATCTCCCGGCCCTAACCCGGTCCATAATTCTAACTACACATATCTCCCGGCCCTAACCCGGTCCAAAATTCTAACTACACACATCTCCCGGCCCTAACCCGGTCCAAAATTCTAACTACACATATCTCCCGGCCCTAACCCGGTCCATAATTCTAACTACACACATCTCCCGGCCCTAACCCGGTCCATAATTCTAACTACACATATCTCCCGGCCCTAACCCGGTCCATAATTCTAACTACACACATCTCCCGGCCCTAACCCGGTCCATAATTCCGCCGTACCTGCTGGTTGAGCTCCACCAGCTCGGCGTCTCCTCCGTTGCGTGTGACTGGAGACCGGCGCGCTGTGGCGATCTGCCTCTGGGGCGGAGGCACACACTTGGGCCCATTGGGGGATGTTCTCATGGGTCCTAAACGCACAAAGACGCACAAAGACACACGAGTCACTGGAGGATTCACAGGTTACACACGATCACATGCAACAGCCTCCTCATGACGCTATTCTCAGCTTTTATTCATAAGATTCATAAGATTCAGACAAGATGCCCAAGTCCAATAGCGCAGGACCATCTCTCAGGACAGATACTAGTTCAAGTTCTTTTGATCAGAATCAGAATCTTTTTATTGGCTTGTGAGTAACAAGAAGTCACAAACTACGAAATGGCTTTGGCTCTTGGTGCTTGATTGAACTCCTCTATATCGTTGCTCTCCCAATTTTCCAAAATACTTGAGAAGCTTTTTATTGAAAGATTCTTTCTGTTAAATGACAGTCAATATGGTTTTAGGAGTAATAGGTCAACAGCCCTTGCACTCATGAAAATAACAGGACATTACAACTGAATTGGATAACAAAAATTACACAATCGGAGTCTTTATCGATCTGAAAAAGGCTTTTGATATTGTTGACCATAACATTCTTCTCAATAAGTGACAGTCTTATGGAATCAGAGGTGTCGTGTTGCAGTGGGTTGCCAGTTACTTGGAAAATTGTCAACAGTATGTAGATTTTGCAGGACACTTATCAAAGAGTCAGCAGATAAATTGTGGTGTACCACAAGGGTCTGTTTTGGGGCCAAAATTGTTCCTTTTGTATATTAATGACCTGTGTGATGTGCCTAAAATATTACATTTTTCACTATTTGCAGATGACACAAATGTCTTTTGTTCTGGGAGGGATATAAGTACTTTAATTACTACTATTGAAAAAGAAATGGTCCTACTTCAAAAATGGTTTAATGCCAACAAACTCCTTAAAAGGTAAGCAAAACCAAGTTCATGCTGTTCACCAATCAAAAAAGGGTGGAAGAGATTGAATTATATTTGAATTGTGTTAAAATCGAAAAGGTTTCCGAAATCCATTTTTTAGGAGTCATTTTTGATGAAAACCTAAAATGGAAGCGACACGTTGCTTCAACAAAAAAGAAAATCTGTGAGAATCTTGCCATATTGAGCAAAGTAAAATATCTGTTGAACTAAAGGCAATGGGAACTCTATACTGTTCTTTGATCCGTATTATATATTATACATATTATATGTATTGCCTTGAAGTCTGGGGAAACTCCTACAACACTAATTTAACACCTTTAGTCATCCTACAAAAAAGAGCTTTACGAATAATACACAAAACGGCTCCAAGAGAACACACAACTAAACTATTGTTGAAGTCAGGACTGTTAAAAATGAAAGATTTAATTGTATTAAAGACATTATTGATTATGTTCAGAGCACGACATTATTTATTGCCCCGTGGTCTTCAAATGTTTTTCTCTGTAAACAATGAAATCAGCAGAATCTGGATGCCTTTTGCAAGAACAGCACTCAAACAAATGTCCATCTCATACGCTGGGGTAAAACTGTGGAACTCTGGACAGTGAATTAAAAACATGTTCAAATAAATTACAATTTAAGTTTAAATGTAAACAAAAAAGGATCAAGTCCTGTGTTAAATGAAGTGAGAAATAGTATTGTATTTGTTGTATTTTGATACAAAGCCATCTATGTCTGTTGTCTTACTGGTATAAGACTGGGGCAGGGGTTTAAATAAGACTTGGTCTTCATCCTACTCCTCTTCTTGTTGTATAAGTAACTGTAATGTTATATAAAAACGAATAAAATGAATGAATGAATGAAAGTACACATGTATTAAAACAGTTGTGTTATGTGAAATCTAAGCTCTGTTTCCAACCATTACTTGATTGTTTTGGAGAAAAAACATCAAGAAAATGTATTCTCAAAGACCAATCCTTTCCTAAACGGTTACACTGTGACAACACAATATTATTTTACCATTTTATTTCCATACATAAAACTTCCAGTATAGATCTTTACAGGCTCCCGGGAAAGTGCTCTGTGTCTCAGAACACTTACAGCAGACTGCAGCCAATGTATGTGTTTTTATTTTGTTACTGCGGTGTCTCAGCTGTTGATCTCCAGAGCTGATGAAGAAGCACACATTCCTGCTGAAGTGTGTTTATGTGAACAGCAGAGAGACGAGAACACAGGATGGGGTGGAATGTGTTTAGGGCTCATAGGGAGAGTTTATGGACTCAACACGGTTTAGTAGAGATAGTCAACAGTTAAAAGTCTATCTATTGTTTAAGTGCTATATCAACATGAAAACCTGCGGCCTATATGTGGACAAGATCTGCACCTGTATCTTTAAAATATACAGGTGCAGTTTATATACAGGTGCGCTCACAAGTCGACCAAATACTGCATATGGTTTGTAAATGGTGTTGGTAAATGTGAGTGAGTGAGTGAGTGAGTGAGTGAGTGAGTGAGTGAGTGTGTGCTGTTGCTTCATCCAACCCCTTTTGGAACAATGTACTTTGTTATTTGTCTGTTATATTGATGTGAAAGGTGTTGTGGCTCCGGCTGGAATTGAGTTTAAACAGAAAATACAAACAGCTTGGATTAAACAATATATAGGATTTATCAATTTACTTTTCTTTTATCCATTTCAAATTGGTGAATCGTCTCCTATAACTGCAGCATGGACGATGTGCACGCACGCACACGCACGCACACACCCACACGCACACACCCACACGCACACGCACACACGCACACGCACACACGCACACGCTGCAGACACCGGTTACCTGGACCTGGTCGTCTTTTGGGTTTGTCCCCTGACTTCCCCATGACCCGCCCCCTGACTTCCCCATGACCCGCCCCCTGACTTCCCCATGACCCGCCCCCTGACTTCCCCATGACCCGCCCCCTGACTTCAATGACCCGCCCCCTGACTTCCCCATGACACCCACCTGACCACCGTGACTTCCCCATGACCCGCCCCCCTGACTTCCCCATGACCCGCCCCCTGACTTCCCCATGACCCGCCCCTGACTTCCCCATGACCCGCCACCTGACTTCCCCATGACCCGCCCCCTGACTTCCCCATGACCCGCCCCCTGACTTCCCCATGACCCGCCACCTGACTTCCCCATGACCCGCCACCTGACTTCCCCATGACCCGCCACCTGACTTCCCCATGACCCGCCCCCTGACTCGCCCCTGACTTCCCCATGACCCGCCCCCCTGACTTCCCCATGACCCGCCCCCCTGACTTCCCCATGACCCGCCCCCTGACTTCCCCATGACCCGCCCCCCTGACTTCCCCATGACCCGCCCCCTGACTTCCCCATGACCCGCCACCTGACTTCCCCATGACCCGCCACCTGACTTCCCCATGACCCGCCCCTGACTTCCCATGACCCGCCCCCTGACTTCCCCGCACCTGACTCCCTGACCCCCACCTGACCTTCCCCATGACCCGCCCCTGACTTCCCCATGACCCGCCCCCTGACTTCCCCATGACCCGACCCCCTGACTTCCCCATGACCCGCCCCCTGACTTCCCCATGACCCGCCCCCTGACTTCCCCATGACCCGCCCCCTGACTTCCCCATGACCCGCCCCTGACTCCCCATGACCCCCCCTGACTTCCCCCTGACTTCCCATGACCCGCCCCCTGACTTCCCCATGACCCCCCCCTGACCCCCTGACTTCCCCATGACCCGCCCCCTGACTTCCCCATGACCCCCCCCTGACTTCCCCATGACCGCCCCCTGACTTCCCCATAGACAGGCCGCCCCCTGACTTCCCCATGACCCGCCCCCTGACTTCCCCATGACCCGCCCCCTGACTTCCCCATGACCCGCCCCCTGACTTCCCCATGACCCGCCCCCTGACTTCCCCATGACCCGCCCCCTGACTTCCCCATGACCCGCCCCCTGACCCGCCCCTGACCCGCCCCCTGACTTCCCCATGACCCGCCCCCTGACTTCCCCATGACCCGCCCCCTGACTTCCCCATGACCCGCCCCCTGACTTCCCCATGACCCGCCCCCTGACTTCCCCATGACCCCCCCTGACTTCCCCCGCCCCCTGACTTCCCCATGACCCGCCCCTGACTTCCCCATGACCCTTCCCCATGACCCCTGACTTCCCCATGACCCGCCCCCTGACTTCCCCATGACCCGCCCCCTGACTTCCCCATGACCCGCCCCCTGACTTCCCTCGGAATAAATGTCCTGGATCAACCCTGTCCTTAGACCCATCCTGCATCCGAGAGGAAACCATTCTGACTGAGGCTATTGATCCAGGACTGAGGTTGTAGATCCAGGACGGAGGCTGAAGATCCAGGACGGAGGCTGAAGATCCTGACTGAAGCTGTAGGCTCTGAAATAGACTAAGGGTAACCCGGTGAATAGCATTGACCAGACTAGAGCTAAACCCATACTGTGCACTGAAAGCAAATAAAAGGTCAAAACTTGAGAAAAATCCATGTTTTAGATTGTATTCTTGTTTTAATTAATGCTCTCCCTCCAAAACCTGCAACAACACCTCTTTAAACAGGACGGTATTCTCCTAGTCTCTGTCCTCCCATTTAGGGCAGAATCCCAGTCTCTATTTTCCCAATCTCTGTGGTCCCAGTCTCTTCTAGCAGTAGGGCAAAGATTCACACAGATCAAAGCAGAGATTTTTTGCTCTCCATCCAAACCCTTCTGTCAGACCTCTGTAAACCTCTTCATATCTAACACACGTTTTTTCTTCCTTGAGTCATAATCCTCTCTTCTTCTGCTGTTTCCCTGGACTCACGACAGCCTCCTCTTCAGGACTTAGCTTCTTCAAAGCACCACGCTCCCATCACCATGACACAGCTCTGCCACCAGAACCAGAGACTTACCACTGGTCTCTCTCTGGTCTCTCTCTTCTCTCTCTCTGGTCTTGCTTTAGTCTGTTTTTCTTTGGTCTCTCTGCTCTCACCCTCTGGTCTCTCGCTCTCTGACCTCTCTCTTTGGTCTCTCTCTGCTCTCTTTCTCTCTGGTCTCTCACAAGCACGTATTATTAGTCTCTGTCACTTATTGAGATAATCTTTTTCAGACAGAAAAGTGAAAAGCCTCCTCTTCTTGGGAGGCTATGAGTCGTTTGTCAGGACTTAGCTCCTTCAAAGCGCTGCGTACTCATCACCATTACACAGCTCTGTCACCAGAACCAGAGACTTACCCACATGGTACTAATGTCATCCCTGAATGTGAGCTCAGAGGAGGGGGCTGGAGCAGGCTGCCGGGGGGGGCGTGGGGAGCTCCAGGATCAAGCGTCTGGAAAACCTTTAAAGATGTTTATTTCGGGCAAAGGTTTTGGCCACGACAGGAATAACAAGAGAGAGAAAGTTTTCCACGTTTGAAGTTCTGTCGTTCATAGTCACAGCAGGAATATGGCATTACCTCAAATGGCTAAACTACACTGGTCCCGCGCTGTAACATAATTTCATCTTTAGATCTGTTTTTTTTTTTTCATGTGTCTCTTGGCTCTCTCACTAGTCTCTCTTCTCTCCTCTCTCCCCCTCTCCTAACATCTCCTCTCCCTGCTCTCTCTTCTCCCTCCTCTCTCTCTCCTCTATCTTCTGTCTCTCCTCTCTTCTCCTCTCTCTCCCTTTTCTATCCTCTCCGTCTCTCCTCTCACTCTTTCTCTTCTCCTCCCATCTCTCTCCTCTCCTCTCTCCCTCTCCTCTCCTAACATCTCCTCCCCCTGCTCTCTCCTCTCCTCTCTGTCCTGTCCCTGCTATCTCCTCTCTCTCCTCTCCTCTCTCTCTCCTCTATCTTTTGTCTCTCCTCTCTTCTCCTCTCTCTCCCTTTTCTATCCTATCCCTCTCTCCTCTTCTTCTTCTCCTCCCATCTCTCTCCTCTCTCCCCTCTCCTCTCAACATCTCCTCTCCCTGCTCTCTCTTCTCCTCTCTGTCCTGTCCCTGCTATCTCATCTCCTCTCTCTCCTCTCCTCTCTCTCCTCTATCTTCTGCACATCTCTCTACTCTCTTCACCCTCCTCTCTCTCTTCTCCTCTCTCTCTTCTTATTCTCCTCCCATCTCTTTCTCATCTTTCTTCCCTCTGCCTCCCTCTCCTCTCGGCTGTAATTTGCTCTCCTCTCTTGTCTTTCAGATTCATTTTCATTTGCCATTTTCAGTAAAACCAGACAAGGACATAAACAAACAAGGTATTATTGTTAAAAGTACAAGAATACCTCTCCTCTCCCTCCTCTCTTCTCCTCCTATCTCTTTTCTCTCTCTCATCTCCCTCCTCTCTCCTCTCCCACTACTCTCTTCTCTCTCCTCTCTCCCTCCCCTCCTCATCTCCTCTCTTTCTCCTCTCCTCTCTCTTATCCGCCTCTCTCTCATCTCCCTCCTCTCTTTCCTCTCTCTCTTCTCCTTTCTCTCCTCTCTCTCCTCTCTCTCTCTCTCTCCTCTCTCTCTCTTCACCCTCCTCCCTCTCCCCATCCCTCCCGTAGTCTTCTCCCTCCTCGTTTCGACTGATTTCTTGTTTCCTTAGATGTAGGAGTTAGCGCTGCTGCTAATGTTCTGATTCTCTCACTGTTTGATCTCAGCTGGCGACTGATTGTGAGAGCAGACAAACCTTTAATGGACGAGGCTGGAGGCAGAACAGGTCTGAGCTATTGATTAGGAGACGCAGGAGGAGACGCAGGAAGAGCAGACGCATCTCCGCTGACAATCAATCCCTCTCCGGGAGTTTGGAAATGCAAACGAGCCGAGGTCGAGCTGCAGGAGGTTACAGCCAGGTTTCTGTCAAGTTTCACCAACGATTAGAGCAGTGACGAGGATACTCTCTCTCTCTCCCTGGTCTCTCTCCCTGGTGGTCTCTCTCTCCATGGTCTCTCTCTCTCCCTGGTCTCTCTCTGGTCTCTCTCTCTGGTCTCTCTCTGGTCTCTCTCTGGTCTCTCTCTGGTCTCTCTCTCTGGTCTCTCTCTCTGTCTCTCTCTGTTGTCTCTCTCTGGTCTCTCTCTGGTCTCTCTCTCTGGTCTCTCTCTGGTCTCTCTCCCTGGTCTCTCTCCTGGTCTGGTCTCTCCATGGTCTCTCTCTCCATGGTCTCTCTCCATGGTCTCTCTCTCCATGGTCTCTCTCTCCATGGTCTCTCTCTCCATGGTCTCTCTCTCCATGGTCTCTCTCTCTCATGGTCTCTCTCTCTGGTCTCTCTCCATGGTCTCTCTCTCTGGTCTCTCTCCCATGGTCTCTCTCCATGGTCTCTCTCTCCATGGTCTCTCTTCCATGGTCTCTCTCACTCCCTGGTCTCTCTCCCTGGTCTCTCTCCTGGTCTCTCTCCTGGTCTCTCTCCTTGGTCTCTCTCCTTGGTCTCTCTCCCTGGTCTCTCTCCCTGGTCTCTCTCCCTGGTCTCTCTCCCTGGTCTCTCTCCATGGTCTCTCTCTCCTCCATGGTCTCTCTCCATGGTCTCTCTCCATGGTCTCTTTCTCTCCATGGTCTCTCTCATGGTCTCTCTCCTGGTCTCTCTCCATGGTCTCTCTATGGTCTCTCTCCCTGGTCTCTCTCCCTGGTCTCTCTCCTTGGTCTCTCTCCTTGGTCTCTCTCCCTGGTCTCTCTCTCTGGTCTCTCTCCCTGGTCTCTCTCCATGGTCTCTCTATGGTCTCTCTCCATGGTCTCTCTCTCCCTGGTCTCTCTCTCCCTGGTCTCTCTCCCTGGTCTCTCTCCCTGGTCTCTCTCCCTGGTCACTCTCTCTGGTCTCTCTCTCCCTGGTCTCTCTCTCTCTGGTCTCTCTCTCTGGTCTCTCTCTCTCTGGTCTCTCTCCCTGGTCTCTCTCTCTCTGGTCTCTCTCTCTGGTCTCTCTCTCCCTGGTCTCTCTCCCTGGTCACTCTCTCTGGTCTCTCTCTCTCTGGTCTCTCTCTCTCTGGTCTCTCTCCCTGGTCTCTCTCTCTCTGGTCTCTCTCCCTGGTCTCTCTCCCTGGTCTCTCTCTCTGGTCTCTCTCTCTGGTCTCTCTCTCTCTGGTCTCTCTCTCTCTGGTCTCTCTCTCTGGTCTCTCTCCCTGGTCTCTCTCCCTGGTCTCTCTCCCTGGTCTCTCTCTCTGGTCTCTTTCTCTGGTCTCTCTCTCTGGTCTCTCTCTCCCTGGTCACTCTCTCCCTGGTCTCTCTCCCTGGTCACTCTCTCCCTGGTCACTCTCTCTCTGGTCTCTCTCCCTGGTCTCTCTCTCTCTGGTCTCTCTCCCTGGTCTCTCTCCCTGGTCTCTCTCCCTGGTCTCTCCCTGGTCTCTCTCTCCCTGGTCTCTCTCCCTGGTCTCTCTCTCTCTGGTCTCTCTCCCTGGTCTCTCTCCCTGGTCTCTCTCTCTCTCTGGTCTCTCTCTCTCTCTGGTCTCTCTCTCTGGTCTCTCTCTCTGGTCTCTCTCCCTGGTCTCTCTCTCTGGTCTCTCTCCCTGGTCTCTCTCTCTGGTCTCTCTCTCTGGTCTCTCTCTCTCTGGTCTCTCTTTCTCTGGTCTCTCTCCCTGGTCTCTCTCTCTGGTCTCTTTCTCTGGTCTCTCTCTCCCTGGTCTCTCTCCTGGTCCCTGGTCTCTCTCCTGGTCTCTCTCCCTGGTCTCTCTCCCTGGTCTCTCTCCCTGGTCTCTCTCCCTGGTCTCTCTCCCTGGTCTCTCTCTCCCTGGTCTCTCTCTCCCTGGTCTCTCTCTCCTGGTCTCTCTCCCTGGGCTCTCTCTCCCTGGTCTCTCTCTCTCTGGTCTCTCTCCCTGGTCTCTCTCCCTGGTCTCTCTCTCCGTGGTCTCTCTCCCTGGTCTCTCTCTCTCTGGTCTCTCTCCCTGGTCTCTCCCTCTCTGGTCTCTCTCTCTGGTCTCTCTCTCCCTGGTCACTCTCTCTCTGGTCTCTCTCTCTCTGGTCTCTCTCTCTGGTCTCTCTCTCTGGTCTCTCTCTCTGGTCTCTCTCTTTGGTCTCTCTCCCTGGTCTCTCTCCCTGGTCTCTCTCCCTGGTCTCTCTCCCTGGTCTCTCTCTTCCTGGTCTCTCTCTCCCTGGTCTCTCTCTCCCTGGTCTCTCTCCCTGGTCTCTCTCCCTGGTCTCTCTCCCTGGTCTCTCTCCCTGGTCTCTCTCTCCCTGGTCTCTCTCTCCCTGGTCTCTCTCTCCCTGGTCTCTCTCTCCCTGGTCTCTCTCCCTGGTCTCTCTCTCCCTGGTCTCTCTCTCTCTGGTCTCTCTCCCTGGTCTCTCTCCCTGGTCTCTCTCCCTGGTCTCTCTCTCCGTGGTCTCTCTCCCTGGTCTCTCTCTCTCTGGTCTCTCTCCCTGGTCTCTCCCTCTCTGGTCTCTCTCCCTGGTCACTCTCTCCCTGGTCACTCTCTCTCTGGGCTCTCTCTCTGGTCTCTCTCTCTGGTCTCTCTCTCTGGTCTCTCTCTCTGGTCTCTCTCCCTGGTCTCTCTCCCTGGTCTCTCTCCCTGGTCTCTCTCTCCCTGGTCTCTCTCTCCCTGGTCTCTCTCTCCCTGGTCTCTCTCTCCCTGGTCTCTCTCCCTGGTCTCTCTCCCTGGTCTCTCTCCCTGGTCTCTCTCCCTGGTCTCTCTCTCCCTGGTCTCTCTCTCCCTGGTCTCTCTCCTCTCCCTGGTCTCTCTCTCCCTGGTCTCTCTCCCTGGTCTCTCTCTCCCTGGTCTCTCTCTCTCTGGTCTCTCTCCCTGGTCTCTCTCCCTGGTCTCTCTCTCCGTGGTCTCTCTCTCCGTGGTCTCTCTCCCTGGTCTCTCTCTCTCTGGTCTCTCCCTCTCTGGTCTCTCTCCCTGGTCACTCTCTCCCTGGTCACTCTCTCTCTGGTCTCTCTCTCTGGTCTCTCTCTCTGGTCTCTCTCTCTGGTCTCTCTCTCTGGTCTCTCTCTCTGGTCTCTCTCTCTGGTCTCTCTCTCTGGTCTCTCTCTCTGGTCTCTCTCTCTGGTCTCTCTCTCTGGTCTCTCTCTCTGGTCTCTCTCCCTGGTCTCTCTCCCTGGTCTCTCTCTCCCTGGTCTCTCTCTCCCTGGTCTCTCTCTCCCTGGTCTCTCTCTCCCTGGTCTCTCTCTCCCTGGTCTCTCTCTCCCTGGTCTCTCTCCCTGGTCTCTCTCTCCCTGGTCTCTCTCTCTCTGGTCTCTCTCTCCCTGGTCTCTCTCCCTGGTCTCTCTCCCTGGTCTCTCTCTCCGTGGTCTCTCTCCCTGGTCTCTCTCTCTCTGGTCTCTCTCCCTGGTCTCTCCCTCTCTGGTCTCTCTCCCTGGTCTCTCTCTCTCTGGTCTCTCTCTCTCTGGTCTCTCTCCCTGGTCTCTCTCCCTGGTCTCTCTCCCTGGTCTCTCTCTCCGTGGTCTCTCTCCGTGGTCTCTCTCCCTGGTCTCTCTCTCTCTGGTCTCTCTCCCTGGTCTCTCCCTCTCTGGTCTCTCTCCCTGGTCTCTCTCTCTCTGGTCTCTCTCTCTGGTCTCTCTCTCTGGTCTCTCTCTCTGGTCTCTCTCTCTGGTCTCTCTCTCTGGTCTCTCTCCTGGTCTCTCTCTCTTGGTCTCTCTCTCCCTGGTCTCTCTCTCCTGGTCTCTCTCTCTCTGGTCTCTCTCTCCCTGGTCTCTCTCCCTGGTCTCTCTCCCTGGTCTCACTCTCCGTGGTCTCTCTCCCTGGTCTCTCTCTCTCTGGTCTCTCTCCCTGGTCTCTCCCTCTCTGGTCTCTCTCCCTGGTCACTCTCTCCCTGGTCTCTCTCCCTGGTCTCTCTCTCCCTGGTCTCTCTCTCCCTGGTCTCTCTCTCCCTGGTCTCTCTCCCTGGTCTCTCTTACTTTCGTCCCAGAATGGCCATGACATATTCCGCTGGTTCTTTGATGTGTAGTTTCTGGATCAGTTTCTTCAGACTGAACTGGCTCTGCTTCTTGTCCACCACCTTCTTCTTGGTCTCCCTGGAAACCTGAAGTCAACAAACACAATCAGGGCCGGGGAAGGCGGTGGTGACACGAGGAGAGAGGGCCGGGGAAGGCGGCGGTGGCACAAGGAGAGAGGGCCGGGGAAGGCGGCGGTGGCACAAGGAGAGAGGGCCGGGGAAGGCGGCGGTGGCACAAGGAGAGAGGGCCGGGGAAGGCGGCGGTGACACAAGGAGAGAGGGCCGGGGAAGGCGGCGGTGACACAAGGAGAGAGGGCCGGGGAAGGCGGCGGTGACACAAGGAGAGAGGGCCGGGGAAGGCGGCGGTGACACAAGGAGAGAGGGCCGGGGAAGGCGGCGGTGGCACAAGGAGAGAGGGCCGGGGAAGGCGGCGGTGACACAAGGAGAGAGGGCCGGGGAAGGCGGCGGTGACACAAGGAGAGATGGCCAGGGAAGGCGGCGGTGACACAAGGAGAGAGGGCCGGGGAAGGCGGCGGTGGCACAAGGAGAGAGGGCCGGGGAAGGCGGCGGTGACACAAGGAGAGATGGCCGGGGAAGGCGGCGGTGGCACAAGGAGAGAGGGCCGGGGAAGGCGGCGGTGACACAAGGAGAGAGGGCCGGGGAAGGCGGCGGTGACACAAGGAGAGAGGGCCGGGGAAGGCGGCGGTGGCACAAGGAGAGAGGGCCGGGGAAGGCGGCGGTGGCACAAGGAGAGAGGGCCGGGGAAGGCGGCGGTGGCACAAGGAGAGAGGGCCGGGGAAGGCGGCGGTGACACAAGGAGAGAGGGCCGGGGAAGGCGGCGGTGGCACAAGGAGAGAGGGCCGGGGAAGGCCGGCGGCGGTGGCACAAGGAGAGAGGGCCGGGGAAGGCGGCGGTGGCACAAGGAGAGAGGGCCGGGGAAGGCGGCGGTGACACAAGGAGAGAGGGCCGGGGAAGGCGGCGGTGACACAAGGAGAGAGGGCCGGGGAAGGCGGCGGTGACACAAGGAGAGAGGGCCGGGGAAGGCGGCGGTGGCACAAGGAGAGAGGGCCGGGGAAGGCGGCGGTGGCACAAGGAGAGAGGGCCGGGAAGGCGGCGGTGACACAAGGAGAGAGGGCCGGGGAAGGCGGCGGTGGCACAAGGAGAGAGGGCCGGGAAGGCGGCGGTGGCACAAGGAGAGAGGGCCAGGGAAGGCGGCGGTGGCACAAGGAGAGAGGGCCGGGGAAGGCGGCGGTGACACAAGGAGAGAGGGCCGGGAAGGCGGCGGTGACACAAGGAGAGAGGGCCGGGGAAGGCGGCGGTGACACAAGGAGAGAGGGGCCGGGGAAGGCGGCGGTGACACAAGGAGAGAGGGCCGGGGAAGGCGGCGGTGACACAAGGAGAGAGGGCCGGGGAAGGCGGCGGTGACACAAGGAGAGAGGGCCGGGGAAGGCGGCGGTGACACAAGGAGAGAGGGCCGGGGAAGGCGGCGGTGACACAAGGAGAGAGGGCCGGGGAAGGCGGCGGTGACACAAGGAGAGAGGGCCGGGGAAGGCGGCGGTGACACAAGGAGAGAGGGCCGGGGAAGGCGGCGGGGTGACACAAGGAGAGAGGGCCGGGGAAGGCGGCGGTGGCACAAGGAGAGAGGGCCGGGGAAGGCGGCGGTGACACAAGGAGAGAGGGCCGGGGAAGGCGGCGGTGGCACAAGGAGAGAGGGCCGGGGAAGGCGGCGGTGGCACAAGGAGAGAGGGCCGGGGAAGGCGGCGGTGGCACAAGGAGAGAGGGCCGGGGAAGGCGGCGGTGACACAAGGAGAGAGGGCCGGGGAAGGCGGCGGTGGCACAAGGAGAGAGGGCCGGGGAAGGCGGCGGTGACACAAGGAGAGAGGGCCGGGGAAGGCGGCGGTGGCACAAGGAGAGAGGGCCGGGGAAGGCGGCGGTGGCACAAGGAGAGAGGGCCGGGGAAGGCGGCGGTGACACAAGGAGAGAGGGCCGGGGAAGGCGGCGGTGACACAAGGAGAGAGGGCCGGGGAAGGCGGCGGTGGCACAAGGAGAGAGGGCCGGGGAAGGCGGCGGTGACACAAGGAGAGAGGGCCGGGGAAGGCGGCGGTGGCACAAGGAGAGAGGGCCGGGGAAGGCGGCGGTGACACAAGGAGAGAGGGCCGGGAAGGCGGCGGTGGCACAAGGAGAGAGGGCCGGGGAAGGCGGCGGTGGCACAAGGAGAGAGGGCCGGGGAAGGCGGCGGTGGCACAAGGAGAGAGGGCCGGGGAAGGCGGCGGTGACACAAGGAGAGAGGGCCGGGGAAGGCGGCGGTGGCACAAGGAGAGAGGGCCGGGGAAGGCGGCGGTGGCACAAGGAGAGAGGGCCGGGGAAGGCGGCGGTGACACAAGGAGAGAGGGCCGGGGAAGGCGGCGGTGCACAAGGAGAGAGGGCCGGGGAAGGCGGCGGTGGCACAAGGAGAGAGGGCCGGGGAAGGCGGCGGTGGCACAAGGAGAGAGGGCCGGGGAAGGCGGCGGCGGTGACACAAGGAGAGAGGGCCGGGGAAGGCGGCGGTGACACAAGGAGAGAGGGCCGGGGAAGGCGGCGGTGGCACAAGGAGAGAGGGCCGGGGAAGGCGGCGGTGGCACAAGGAGAGAGGGCCGGGGAAGGCGGCGGTGACACAAGGAGAGAGGGCCGGGGAAGGCGGCGGTGACACAAGGAGAGAGGGGCGGGGGAAGGCGGCGGTGGCACAAGGAGAGAGGGCCGGGGAAGGCGGCGGTGACACAAGGAGAGAGGGCCGGGGAAGGCGGCGGTGGCACAAGGAGAGAGGGCCGGGGAAGGCGGCGGTGGCACAAGGAGAGAGGGCCGGGGAAGGCGGCGGTGGCACAAGGAGAGAGGGCCGGGGAAGGCGGCGGTGACACAAGGAGAGAGGGCCGGGGAAGGCGGCGGTGGCACAAGGAGAGAGGGCCGGGAAGGCGGCGGTGGCACAAGGAGAGAGGGCCGGGGAAGGCGGCGGTGACACAAGGAGAGAGGGCCGGGGAAGGCGGCGGTGACACAAGGAGAGAGGGCCGGGGAAGGCGGCGGTGACACAAGGAGAGAGGGCCGGGGAAGGCGGCGGTGGCACAAGGAGAGAGGGCCGGGGAAGGCGGCGGTGACACAAGGAGAGAGGGCCGGGGAAGGCGGCGGTGACACAAGGAGAGAGGGCCGGGGAAGGCGGCGGTGACACAAGGAGAGAGGGCCGGGGAAGGCGGCGGGTGGCACAAGGAGAGAGGGCCGGGGAAGGCGGCGGTGGCACAAGGAGAGAGGGCCGGGGAAGGCGGCGGTGACACAAGGAGAGAGGGCCGGGGAAGGCGGCGGTGGCACAAGGAGAGAGGGCCGGGGAAGGCGGCGGTGGCACAAGGAGAGAGGGCCGGGAAGGCGGCGGTGGCACAAGGAGAGAGGGCCGGGGAAGGCGGCGGTGGCACAAGGAGAGAGGGCCGGGGAAGGCGGCGGTGGCACAAGGAGAGAGGGCCGGGGAAGGCGGCGGTGACACAAGGAGAGAGGGCCGGGGAAGGCGGCGGTGGCACAAGGAGAGAGGGCCGGGGAAGGCGGCGGTGGCACAAGGAGAGAGGGCCGGGGAAGGCGGCGGTGACACAAGGAGAGAGGGCCGGAGAAGGCGGCGGTGACACAAGGAGAGAGGGCCGGGGAAGGCGGCGGTGACACAAGGAGAGAGGGCCGGGGAAGGCGGCGGTGACACAAGGAGAGAGGGCCGGGGAAGGCGGCGGTGACACAAGGAGAGAGGGCCGGGGAAGGCGGCGGTGACACAAGGAGAGAGGGCCGGGGAAGGCGGCGGTGACACAAGGAGAGAGGGCCGGGGAAGGCGGCGGTGACACAAGGAGAGAGGGCCGGGGAAGGCGGCGGTGGCACAAGGAGAGAGGGCCGGGGAAGGCGGCGGTGGCACAAGGAGAGAGGGCCGGGGAAGGCGGCGGTGGCACAAGGAGAGAGGGCCGGGGAAGGCGGCGGTGACACAAGGAGAGAGGGCCGGGGAAGGCGGCGGTGGCACAAGGAGAGAGGGCCGGGGAAGGCGGCGGTGACACAAGGAGAGAGGGCCGGGGAAGGCGGCGGTGACACAAGGAGAGAGGGCCGGGAAGGCGGCGGTGGCACAAGGAGAGAGGGCCGGGGAAGGCGGCGGTGACACAAGGAGAGAGGGCCGGGGAAGGCGGCGGTGACACAAGGAGAGAGGGCCGGGGAAGGCGGCGGTGACACAAGGAGAGAGGGCCGGGGAAGGCGGCGGTGACACAAGGAGAGAGGGCCGGGGAAGGCGGCGGTGGCACAAGGAGAGAGGGCCGGGGAAGGCGGCGGTGACACAAGGAGAGAGGGCCGGGGAAGGCGGCGGTGACACAAGGAGAGAGGGCCGGGGAAGGCGGCGGTGACACAAGGAGAGAGGGCCGGGGAAGGCGGCGGTGGCACAAGGAGAGAGGGCCGGGGAAGGCGGCGGTGACACAAGGAGAGAGGGCCGGGGAAGGCGGCGGTGACACAAGGAGAGAGGGCCGGGGAAGGCGGCGGTGACACAAGGAGAGAGGGCCGGGGAAGGCGGCGGTGACACAAGGAGAGAGGGCCGGGAAGGCGGCGGTGGCACAAGGAGAGAGGGCCGGGGAAGGCGGCGGTGGCACAAGGAGAGAGGGCCGGGGAAGGCGGCGGTGACACAAGGAGAGAGGGCCGGGGAAGGCGGCGGTGACACAAGGAGAGAGGGCCGGGGAAGGCGGCGGTGGCACAAGGAGAGAGGGCCGGGGAAGGCGGCGGTGGCACAAGGAGAGAGGGCCGGGGAAGGCGGCGGTGACACAAGGAGAGAGGGCCGGGGAAGGCGGCGGTGGCACAAGGAGAGAGGGCCGGGGAAGGCGGCGGTGGCACAAGGAGAGAGGGCCTGGGGAAGGCGGCGGTGACACAAGGAGAGAGGGCCGGGAAGGCGGCGGTGGCACAAGGAGAGAGGGCCGGGGAAGGCGGCGGTGACACAAGGAGAGAGGGCCGGGGAAGGCGGCGGTGACACAAGGAGAGAGGGCCGGGGAAGGCGGCGGTGACACAAGGAGAGAGGGCCGGGGAAGGCGGCGGTGGCACAAGGAGAGAGGGCCGGGGAAGGCGGCGGTGGCACAAGGAGAGAGGGCCGGGGAAGGCGGCGGTGACACAAGGAGAGAGGGCCGGGGAAGGCGGCGGTGACACAAGGAGAGAGGGCCGGGGAAGGCGGCGGTGGCACAAGGAGAGAGGGCCGGGGAAGGCGGCGGTGGCACAAGGAGAGAGGGCCGGGGAAGGCGGCGGTGACACAAGGAGAGAGGGCCGGGGAAGGCGGCGGTGACACAAGGAGAGAGGGCCGGGGAAGGCGGCGGTGGCACAAGGAGAGAGGGCCGGGGAAGGCGGCGGTGGCACAAGGAGAGAGGGCCGGGGAAGGCGGCGGTGGCACAAGGAGAGAGGGCCGGGGAAGGCGGCGGTGACACAAGGAGAGAGGGCCGGGGAAGGCGGCGGTGACTTGCAGCTTTCAATGTTTACGGCTTTGATCTTTCCCTCTCCTCCCGCCTTAACCAGCTCGCTCCTCCTAAAACCTCCGGCCCATGGTTCACATCAGCTCTTCTTCAGCTCAAACGTAAACACAGACAACTCCAACGACTCCACATCTAACCGCTCTCACTGTCCACGCTGAAGCCCACAGAACCTCCACCTGCTCCTCCATCACTGCTGCAAACACCTGTACTCTGTTCGCTGGTGTAGCCTCTGGGTGGAGCAGGACGGGTCACAGCAGCAGAGGTGGTGTAGCCTCTGGGTGGAGCAGGATGGGTAACAGCAGCAGAGGTCAAAAGGTGGAGTAGTCGCTTGGTTCGGACCAGGACGACATCACCGCAGAAAAATGCACTACTTATCGTTCTTTCACTCCAAAATCCATTCCATCCACACCACACATCATCTGCTCCACCTCACCATCTGCTCCCACCTCACCATCTGCTCCACCTCACCATCTGCTCCACCTCACCATCTGCTCCACCTCACCATCTGCTCCACCTCACCATCTGCACCATCTGCTCCACCTCACCATCTGCTCCACCTCACCATCTGCTCCACCTCAACATCTGCTCCACCTCACCATCTGCACCTCACCATCTGCACCATCCTCCCACCTCCCATCTCACCATCCTCACCACCTCACCATCTGCTCCACCTACCACTCACCATCTGCTCCACCTCACCATCTGCACCATCTGCTCCACCTCACCATCTGCTCCACCTCATCATTGCTCCACACCTCACCATCTGCTCCACCTCACCATCTGCTCCACCTCACCATCTGCTCCACCTCACCATCTGCTCCACCTCACCATCTGCACCATCACCAGCTCCACCTCACCACTCCACCTCACCATCTGCTCACCATCTGCTCCACCTCACCATCTTCACCATCTGGGCTCCACCTCACCATCTGCTCACACCTCACCATCTGCTCCATTCTGCTCCACCTCACCATCTGCTCCACCTCACCATCTGCACCCTCATCTGCTCACCATCACCATCTGCTCCCTCACCATCTGCTCCACCTCATCTGCTCCACCTCCATCCACTCACCATCTGCTCCACCTCACCATCTGCTCCATCACCATCTGCTCCACCTCACCATCTGCTCCATCTGCTCCACCTCTGCTCCACCTCCACCTCAACATCTGCTCCACCTCACCATCTGCTCCACCTCACCATCTGCTCCATCTGCTCCACCTCACCATCTGCTCCACCTCACCATCTGCACCATCTGCTCCACCTCACCATCTGCACCATCTGCTCCACCTCACCATCTGCTCCACCTCACCATCTGCTCCACCTCAACATCTGCTCCACCTCACCATCTGCTCCACCTCACCATCTGCTCCATCTGCTCCACCTCACCATCTGCTCCACCTCACCATCTGCTCCATCTGCTCCACCTCACCATCTGCTCCACCTCACCATCTGCTCCATCTGCTCCACCTCACCATCTGCTCCACCTCACCATCTGCACCATCCAAATCTCCTCACAGACATGAAAATGAAAACCTGCCACCTCGACCCCCCCCCCCTCTTCATCTTTTACATGCTCCCTCTTGGCCGCATCATTCGTCACATCATCCATCTCCCCAGTCATCCTCTGCACCAACACACTCTGCATCTCTGACATCAAAACATGGATGGACAACAATTTTCTCAACGGCAACAAAACAGAACTCATCCTCATCGGACCCAAATCCCTCCTCCCCTCTGCCCAGAACATCTCCCTCATCATCCCCCGTCTCCGCCCCTCCCTCATCATCCCCCGTCTCCACCCCTCCCTCATCCTCCCCCGTCTCCGCCCCTCCCTCATCCTCCCCCGTCTCCGCCCCTCCCTCATCATCCCCCGTCTCCGCCCCTCCCTCATCATCCCCCGTCTCCGCCCCTCCCTCATCATCCCCCGTCTCCGCCCCTCCCTCATCCTCCCCCGTCTCCGCCCCTCCCTCATCATCCCCCGTCTCCGCCCCTCCCTCATCATCCCCCGTCTCCGCCCCTCCCTCATCCTCCCCCCGTCTCTCCGCCCCTCCCTCATCCTCCCCCGTCTCCGCCCCTGCCTCATCATCCCCCGTCTCCGCCCCTCCCTCATCATCCCCCGTCTCCGCCCCTCCCTCATCATCCCCCGTCTCCGCCCCTCCCTCATCCTCCCCCGTCTCCGCCCCTCCCTCATCATCCCCCGTCTCCGCCCCTCCCTCATCATCCCCCGTCTCCGCCCCTCCCTCATCCTCCCCCGTCTCCGCCCCTCCCTCATCCTCCCCCGTCTCCGCCCCTGCCTCATCATCCCCCGTCTCCGCCCCTCCCTCATCATCCCCCGTCTCCGCCCCTCCCTCATCATCCCCCGTCTCCGCCCCTCCCTCATCATCCCCCGTCTCCGCCCCTCCCTCATCATCCCCCGTCTCCGCCCCTCCCTCATCCTCCCCCGTCTCCGCCCCTCCCTCATCATCCCCCGTCTCCGCCCCTCCCTCATCATCCCCCGTCTCCGCCCCTCCCTCATCCTCCCCCGTCTCCGCCCCTCCCTCATCCTCCCCCGTCTCCGCCCCTGCCTCATCATCCCCCGTCTCCGCCCCTCCCTCATCATCCCCCGTCTCCGCCCCTCCCTCATCATCCCCCGTCTCCGCCCCTCCCTCATCCTCCCCCGTCTCCGCCCCTCCCTCATCATCCCCCGTCTCCGCCCCTCCCTCATCATCCCCCGTCTCCGCCCCTCCCTCATCCTCCCCCGTCTCCGCCCCTCCCTCATCCTCCCCCGTCTCCGCCCCTGCCTCATCATCCCCCGTCTCCGCCCCTCCCTCATCATCCCCCGTCTCCGCCCCTCCCTCATCATCCCCCGTCTCCGCCCCTCCCTCATCCTCCCCCGTCTCCGCCCCTGCCTCATCCTCCCCCGTCTCCGCCCCTCCCTCATCATCCCCCGTCCTCCGCCCCTCCCTCACACAATCCACTGCAGAAATCCTCATCTACGCCTTCATCACCTCCCGACTGGATTACTGCAACAGCCTCCTCTTCGCTCTCCCTTCCACTCTTCTCCAAAAACTACAATACATCCAGAACTCTGCCGCCCGCCTGCTCAGCCACACCCGCTCCAGAGACCACATCACCCCTGTCCTCAAACGACTCCACTGGCTCCCTGTTCCAGACCGCATAAAATACAAGGTCCTCCTCCTCACCTATAAGTCCCTCCATAACCTGCCCCCCTCTGACCTCACTGACCTCCTCCATCATCACTGTCCCTCCCTCCGCCTCAGATCCACAGACTCCAACCTCCTCACTCCCTCAGAACATTGTGCCGAACCTTGGGGGACCGAGCCTCCGCTGCAGCCGTCCCCACTCTCTGGGACTCTCTGGGACTCTCTGGGACTCTCTGGGACTCTCTGGGACTCTCTGGGACTCTCTGGGACTCTCTGGGACTCTCTGGGACTCTCTGGGACTCTCTGGGACTCTCTGGGACTCTCTGGGACTCTCTGGGACTCTCTGGGACTCTCTGGGACTCTCTGGGACTCTCTGGGACTCTCTGGGACTCTCTGGGACTCTCTGGGACTCTCTGGGACTCTCTGGGACTCTCTGGGACTCACTCACACCTCACATTAGGAACTCTGACTCACTATAGAATTCCAAATCACTTCTCAAAACCCACCCGTTCAAAACTGCCAACACTTAACTGTTAGTTTTTAGCTTTTTATTTTTTGTTTCTTATTTTTCAAAAGAGCGCAAATAAGTACAATGTATTATTATTATTGTTACTATTAATGTATTGGCCATAATTTTAATGTGTAGGAAATAAGACTTGGACTTGACCTTGGGTTTCCAGAGACTTGTGTGCGTCTCTGGGTGGCGAGCTACTGGTTGCTACTGGTTGCTACTGGTTACTACTGGTAGCTACTGGTTGGAGAGCTGTGATGTACCAGGTGTGGTCAGGCACCAGCACTCACCAGGGACCTGAGCACCGCTGGCTCTGCTCGGATCAGGTTGGCCCATTGTGTCAGCTGCTTCTCCGATGGTTTCTGCAGAAAAAACACATAGGTCACCAGGAGAGGGTCATAGGTCACCAGGAGAGGGTCATAGGTCACCAGGAGAGGGTCATAGGTCACCAGGAGAGGGTCAGAGGTCACCAGGAGAGGGTCATAGGTCACCAGGAGAGGGTCATAGGTCACCAGGAGAGGGTCATAGGTCACCAGGAGAGGGTCATAGGTCACCAGAAGAGGGTCATAGGTCACCAGGAGAGGTCATAGGTCACCAAGAGAGGGTCATAGGTCACCAAGAGAGGGTCATAGGTCACCAGGAGAGGTCATAGGTCACCAGGAGAGGGTCATAGGTCACCAAGAGAGGGTCATAGGTCACCAGGAGAGGGTCATAGGTCACCAAGAGAGGGTCAGAGGTCACCAGGAGAGGGTCATAGGTCACCAGGAGAGGTCATAGGTCACCAGGAGAGGGTATAGGTCACCAGGAGAGGGTCATAGGTCACCAAGAGAGTGGTGATGGAAGTAAATAATAGTAAAATAAATAAATAACAGGAGACAAGAAGACAGGATAATCAAATGAAGAGAGAGAGACCAGAGAGAGAGACCAGAGAGAGAGACCAGAGAGAGACCAGAGAGAGATACAGAGAGAGACCAGAGAGAGAGACCAGAGAGAGACCAGAGAGAGACCAGAGAGAGACTAGAGAGAGAGAGAGAGAGACCAGAGAGAGACCAGAGAGAGACCAGAGAGAGACCAGAGAGAGACCAGAGAGAGACCAGAGAGAGACCAGGGAGAGACCAGAGAGAGACCAGAGAGAGAGACCAGAGAGAGACCAGGGAGAGAGACCAGAAGACTGTGTGACACTGTGATGTCACACAGTGGTGATGTCACACTGTGGTGATGTCACACTGTGGTGATGTCACACAGTGGTGATGTCACAGTGGTATGTCACACAGTGGTGATGTCACACAGTGGTGATGTCACACAGTGGTGATGTCACACAGTGGTGATGTCACACAGTGGTGATGTCACACTGAGGTGATGTCACACAGTGGTGATGTCACACAGAGGTGATGTCACACAGTGGTGATGTCACACAGTGGTGATGTCACACAGTGGTGATGTCACACAGTGGTGATGTCACACAGTGGTGATGTCACACTCACCTTCCCGCAGGACTTCCTGTTGTGTTTGCAGCGGTGTTTGCGGGTGTTGTACTTTGAGAGTTGATATTCAGTGAAGTCTTTGAACTTGTCGCTCAGTCCTTTCTTCAGACACGAAGGAAGAGAGCGACTGAAACACTGACACACAAACAAACTATTATTCATCTGCATCAATAACCAACACATACAATTCCATCTGGGTATCACCCTGCCCCGGTCTCACCACACCATGGTACTCATTTCATCTGGTACCAAGGTCTGGATCTGCTCCACTGGCTCCGTTAACAGGTGGGAGGGGCTAACGAAACCATTGGATCTGAGTTTACTGTGACGTATGTAATGAGCCCGAGTGAGGCATTTAGCATTTAGCCTAGCTTTAGCATTTAGCCTAGCTTTAGCATTTAGCCTAGCTTTAGCATTTAGCCATCTCCTTTGTAACAAACGGAGCCCGTGGGGAGTAGAGCCACAACATCTTTGCATCAATGACATTTACTAAATATTCCTCTTGCTCCGGCTTCAATTTCCAGGACTGAGGCTGTAGACCCAGGACTGAGGCTGTAGACCCAGGACTGAGGCTGTAGACCCAGGACTGAGGCTGTAGACCCAGGACTGAGGCTGTAGACCCAGGACTGAGGCTGTAGATCCAGGACTGAGGCTGTAGACCCAGGACTGAGGCTGTAGACCCAGGACTGAGGCTGTAGACCCAGGACTGAGGCTGTAGACCCAGGATTGAGGCTGTAGACCCAGGACTGAGGCTGTAGACCCAGGACTGAGGCTGTAGACCCAGGACTGAGGCTGTAGACCCAGGACTGAGGCTGTAGACCCAGGACTGAGGCTGTGGACCCAGGACTGAGGCTGTAGATCCAGGACTGAGGCTGTAGACCAGGACTGAGGCTGTAGACCCAGGACTGAGGCTGTGGACCCAGGACTGAGGCTGTAGACCCAGGACTGAGGCTGTGGACCCAGGACTGAGGCTGTAGACCCAGGACTGAGGCTGTAGACCCAGGACTGAGGCTGTGGACCCAGGACTGAGGCTGTAGACCCAGGACTGAGGCTGTAGACCCAGGACTGAGGCTGTGGACCCAGGACTGAGGCTGTGGACCCAGGACTGAGGCTGTAGACCCAGGACTGAGGCTGTAGACCCAGGACTGAGGCTGTAGACCCAGGACTGAGGCTGTAGACCCAGGACCGAGGCTGTAGACCCAGGACCGAGGCTGTAGACCCAGGACCGAGGCTGTAGACCCAGGACCGAGGCTGTAGACCCAGGACCGAGGCTGTAGACCCAGGACTGAGGCTGTAGACCCAGGACTGAGGCTGTAGACCCAGGACTGAGGCTGTAGACCCAGGACTGAGGCTGTAGACCCAGGACCGAGGCTGTAGACCCGGGACCGAGGCTGTAGACCCAGGACTGAGGCTGTAGACCCAGGACCGAGGCTGTAGACCCGGGACTGAGGCTGTAGACCCAGGACTGAGGCTGTAGACCCAGGACTGAGGCTGTAGACCCAGGACTGAGGCTGTAGACCCAGGACCGAGGCTGTAGACCCAGGACTGAGGCTGTAGACCCAGGACTGAGGCTGTAGACCAGGACTGAGGCTGTAGACCAGGACTGAGGCTGTAGACCCAGGACTGAGGCTGTGGACCCAGGACTGAGGCTGTAGACCCAGGACAAACCGTTCTGCAGTTCTGATGGTGCAGACTCACAGTGCTGTAGATGCGAACCACCTCCAGCCAATCAGAGGGCAGCTGCACCGCGGCGCACAGGTACCGACGGACGTGGGACTTTGTGGAGCTGAGGTTAGCCGCTAAAGCTAACAGGAAGTTAGCCGTGATCCGGATATTCAACTCCTGACGAGTGTAAACCGCCACCTGAGAACAGATTTATGATCAGACCATGTATATGAGAGAGACCAGAGAGAAACCAGAGAGAGAGACCAGAAAGAGACCAGAGAGAGAGACCAGAGAGAGACCAGAGAGAGAGACCAGAGAGAGAGACCAGAGAGAGACCAGAGAGAGAGACCAGAGAGAAACCAGAGAGAGAGACCAGAAAGAGACCAGAGAGAGAGACCAGAGAGAGACCAGAGAGAGAGACCAGAGAGAGAGACCAGAGAGAGACCAGAGAGAGACCAGAGAGAGACCAGAGAGAGACCAGAGAGAGAGACCAGAGAGAGACCAGAGAGAGAGACCAGAAGGAGACCAGAGAGAGACCAGAGAGAGACCAGAGAGAGACCAGAGAGAGAGCCAGAGGGAGACCAGAGAGACCAGAGAGAGACCAGAGAGAGACCAGAGACCAGAGAGACCAGAAGGAGACCAGAGAGAGACCAGAGAGAGACCAGAAGGAGACCAGAGGGAGACCAGAGAGACCAGAGAGAGACCAGAGAGAGACCAGAGAGAGAGACCAGAGAGAGACCAGAGAGAGACCAGAGAGAGACCAGAGAGAGAGCAGAGGGAGACCAGAGAGACCAGAGAGAGACCAGAGAGAGACCAGAGAGAGACCAGAGAGACCAGAGAGACCAGAGAGAGACCAGAGAGAGAGACCAGAGAGAGACCAGAGAGAGACCAGAGAGAGACCAGAGAGAGACCAGAGAGAGACCAGAGAGAGACCAGAGGGAGAGACCAGAGAGAGAGAGACCAGAGAGAGAGAGACCATAGAATTTGATTGTTCCATGATTTACAGAGAAATTAGCTCTAAACTCAGAGTTCTGACTGTTGCCATAGTTACCGGCTGTGCTCCTGTGAGACTTTAGACTGTGTGGGGCGTTGTGATGTCACATGATTGTCACCTACTGGACACAAACAGGTGTCATGGATTCACCTTGAGCAGAAACTGAGGGTTGTGCTCAGAGACGTCTTTGGCCAAGTCCATGATCCTGGTCCACACGGACTCCTCAGAGTCCCAGTCCTCTTCTCCCGGAGACTTGGACTTATTCACCAGCGAGCAGCACACATGGTTCAGCAGCTGGTACTGAAACACACATCAACACACACATGGTTTAAGGTCCAGAGAGAGAGAGCAGAGAGAGAAGAGAGAGACCAGAGAGAGACCAGAGAGAGAGACCAGAGAGAGACCAGAGAGAGAGCAGAGAGAGAGACCAGAGAGAGACCAGAGAGAGAGCAGAGAGAGAAGAGAGAGACCAGAGAGAGAGCAGAGAGAGAGACCAGAGAGAGACCAGAGAGAGACCAGAGAGAGACCAGAGAGACCAGAGAGAGACCAGAGAGAGACCAGAGAGAGACCAGAGAGAGACCAGAGAGAGACCAGAGAGAGACCAGAGAGAGAGACCAAAGAGAGAGACCAAAGAGAGACCAGAGAGAGACCAGAGAGAGACCAGAGAGAGACCAGAGAGAGACCAGAGAGAGACCAGAGAGAGACCAGAGAGAGACCAGAGAGAGACCACAGAGAGACCAGAGAGAGACCACAGAGAGACCAGAGAGAGACCAGAGAGAGACCAGAGAGAGACCAGAGAGAGACCAGAGAGAGACCAGAGAGAGACCAGAGAGAGACCAGAGAGAGACCAGAGAGAGAGACCAGAGAGAGACACCAGAGAGAGACACCAGAGAGGGACCAAAGAGAGACCAGAGAGAGACCAGAGAGAGACCAGAGAGAGACCAGAGAGAGACCAGAGAGAGAACAGAGAGAGAGACCAGAGAGAGACCAGAGGGAGACCAGAGAGAGACCAGAGAGAGAGACCAGAACCCCACCTTCATGTCCTTGATCTGCTCCTCCTGCTCCTCCTTGTCCCTCTTCAGTTCCTCAAACTCCTGCTTCATGACTTCAGCCTCTGTCTCTTCCTCCTCAGCAGGGGACACAAACATGGCCGACATGCTCCCCTCTTCCTCCTCCTCCTCCTCCTCCTCCTCATACTCCTCCTGCTCCTCCTGCTCCTCCTCAGTCATGTCCACGTCCTCAGAGCGATGCTACAGAACACAACCATTATTAGAATAAAAATTATTTGCAAATAATTGAGTCCAGAGAGAGACCTAGAGAGAGTCCAGAGAGAGAGAGAGACACTAGAAAGAGTCCAGAGAGAGAGAGAGTGAGAGACACTAGAGAGTCCAGAGAGAGAGAGAGAGAGACACTAGAGAGTCCAGAGAGAGAGAGAGAGAGACACTAGAGAGTCCAGAGAGAGAGAGAGAGAGACACTAGAGAGTCCAGAGAGAGAGAGAGAGAGACACTAGAGAGTCCAGAGAGAGAGAGAGAGAGACACTAGAGAGTCCAGAGAGAGAGAGAGAGACACTAGAGCAGGGGTGCTCACACTTTTTCAGCATGCGAGCTACTTATAAAAGGATCAAGTCAAAATGATCTACCTACTACAAAAATGCAAATCATATATTTATTTCAAAAAATATTCTTTATACCTACAATGTATGTTTATGTACATGCAAAACCGCATGAGCCAATATAGCACAACACAACACAATTACCTATGTACATTTTTTGTCATTACCAGAGTTTACTCTGATGACTTGCACTGAATTGAATCGGCCAGGGATGCATAGTCCGGAAAATTGGTGGTAACTCGCTGACAAGTTTGTCGTGGTTTAGCTTTCCTGCACTGAGCGCGGTTGTTTGCGCATGTGCAGTCACCTAAGTGTCAGTAAAACATTACTGAGTAAAACACACATGTGCAGTCACCTAAGTGTCAGTAAAACATTACTGAGTAAAACACACATGTGCAGTCACCTAAGTGTCAGTAAAACATTACAGAGTAAAACACACATGTGCAGTCACCTCAGTGTCAGTAAAACATTACTGAGTAAAACACACATGTGCAGTCACCTAAGTGTCAGTAAAACATTACAGAGTAAAACACACATGTGCAGTCACCTAAGTGTCAGTAAAACATTACAGAGTAAAACACAGATGTGCAGTCTCCTAAGTGTCAGTAAAACATTACTGAGTAAAACACACATGTGCAGTCTCCTAAGTGTCAGTAAAACATTACTGAGTAAAACACACATGTGCAGTCTCCTAAGTGTCAGTAAAACATTACTGAGTAAAACACACATGTGCAGTCACCTAAGTGTCAGTAAAACATTACTGAGTAAAACACACATGTGCAGTCACCTAAGTGTCAGTAAAACATTACAGAGTAAAACACACATGTGCAGTCACCTAAGTGTCAGTAAAACATTACTGAGTAAAACACACATGTGCAGTCCCCTAAGTGTCAGTAAAACATTACTGAGTAAAACACAGATGTCATTTGACTGTGGTGCCATGTCCATGTGCCATGCCTGGTTTATTTAAATCCAAATATTTCCCCTCCTCCGTTTATAAAATAATTTGCATCCACACATCTGCGTTATCAATCACATTCCAAACATGTGCGTGTCTTACGTCCTGTCCTGCGTTGGGGAAAAACACAGAAGTGGGCGGAGCTTTGATGCAGACGCCGGTAACGGCACTTTTACAGTCATAGAAGACACTCTGAGTAAAGACGTATGTTTACAAGCACTGACCCCGTCCTCAGTCCTGGTTTAGCCCTGGTTTAGTCCTGGTTTAGTCCTGGTTTAGTCCTGGTTTAGTCCTGGTTTAGTCCTGGTTTAGTCCTGGTTTAGTCCTGGTTTAGTCCTGGTTTAGTCCTGGTTTAGTCCTGGTTTGGTTGTTTTCGAGCGTGAGTCCCCGCGATCACTTTGCTGCTCTCTGATGTGGAGGATGTTCGCTGCTGCGAGCATCTCACAGAGAACAGTTTTTAAGGTAGTATGATCCATGCTTCAGTGATCAGAGGAATTTAGGGGGGTACTGTGGCGTGCGAGAACACAAAACTCTGGTTATCTCTGTCTACACACAAATGCATTAACGGAGTTTTCAAAAATCTCCACTTTGCCCGGAGTTTTTTGTATATATTAGTTTAGAATGTGTAATGTTTTATTTATTTAATGCGATCTACCAATACTACCTTTGCGATCGACTGGTAGATCGCGATCGACGTATTGAGCACCCCTGCTCTAGAGAGTCCAGAGAGAGAGAGAGAGAGACACTAGAGAGTCCAGAGAGAGAGAGAGAGACACTAGAGAGTCCAGAGAGAGAGAGAGAGAGACACTAGAGAGTCCAGAGAGAGAGAGAGAGACACTAGAGAGAGTCCAGAGAGAGAGAGAGAGAGAGAGACACTAGAGAGTCCAGAGAGAGAGAGAGAGAGACACTAGAGAGTCCAGAGAGAGAGAGAGAGACACTAGAGAGTCCAGAGAGAGAGAGAGAGACACTAGAGAGTCCAGAGAGAGAGAGAGAGAGAGAGACACTAGAGAGAGTCCAGAGAGAGAGAGAGAGAGAGACACTAGAGAGTCCAGAGAGAGAGAGAGACACTAGAGAGTCCAGAGAGAGAGAGAGAGAGACACTAGAGAGTCCAGAGAGAGAGAGAGACCTAGAGAGAGTCCAGAGAGAGAGAGAGAAGAGAGAGAGAGAGAGAGAGAGAGAGACACTATAGAGAGACTAGAGAGAGAGACACTATAGAGAGACTAGAGAGAGAGAGGAGACACTATAGAGAGACTAGAGAGAGAGAGAGACACTATAGAGAGACTACAGAGAGAGAGACACTATAGAGAGACCAGAGAGAGAGAGACTACAGAGAGAGAGACACTATAGAGAGACCAGAGAGAGAGAGAGACTACAGAGAGAGAGACACTAGAGAGTCCAGAGAGAGAGAGAGAGACACTAGAGAGTCCAGAGAGAGAGAGAGAGAGACACTAGAGAGTCCAGAGAGAGAGAGAGAGAGAGACACTAGAGAGAGTCCAGAGAGAGAGAGAGACCTAGAGAGAGTCCAGAGAGAGAGAGAGAGAGAGAGAGAGAGAGAGAGAGAGAGACACTATAGAGAGACTAGAGAGAGAGACACTATAGAGAGACTAGAGAGAGAGAGACACTATAGAGAGACTAGAGAGAGAGAGAGACACTATAGAGAGACTACAGAGAGAGAGACACTATAGAGAGACTACAGAGAGAGAGAGAGACTACAGAGAGAGAGACACTATAGAGAGACCAGAGAGAGAGAGAGACTACAGAGAGAGAGACACTATAGAGAGACCAGAGAGAGAGAGAGACACTATAGAGAGACCAGAGAGAGAGAGACTACAGAGAGAGAGAGAGACACTATAGAGAGACCAGAGAGAGAGAGAGAGACTACAGAGAGAGAGAGAGACTACAGAGAGAGAGACACTATAGAGAGACCAGAGAGAGAGAGAGAGACTACAGAGAGAGAGAGACCAGAGAGAGTTTCTGAAAATGGACTTTCGTTGCTGGTTTACTTATAGTGACGTTTCAATGTTGAGTTTGTCAGATAAACGTTTGTAAAGAATGTTTGAAGGATGTGACCTGTAAACCTGGTCTTACCTCACTGGTGCCGGCTCCACCTGGTCTTACCAGACTGGTGCCGGCTCCTGCTCCGCACACCGGGGGCCACACATGACCCACATGTGCACCCTGTGTGGAGCGGCTGAGCAGAGACCTCCCGGACACTAGGGGCAGTGTGCGCGTGGCCAGGACAGGGGTCTGGCGCTGCAGCAGGGGGTTCTGGGTGAACAGACGGGCGCTGCTGCAGGAGGCGGGGTCACACAGGAGTCTGGACGTGGTGGATGTGAGGGGGGAGGGCTGCAGAGAGGAGGGGGGGGAGGGACGGGTGAGGGAAGGGGTGAGGTTGGTCTGGGGTGTGAGTAACGTGGACCTTTGGGAGAGAAGCTTGTTTTCCAGGTTCGGAGCAGAGTAAGAGAAGGACAGACTCCGGCCCTCGACAGGACTCAGAGTCTTCATGTCTGAAGAAAAGAACACATTTCTTTAGAATCATTCACAGAGACCAGAGAGAGACCAGAGGGAGACCAGAGAGAGACCAGAGAGAGACCAGAGAGAGACCAGAGAGAGACCAGAGAGAGACCAGAGAGAGACCAGAGAGAGACCAGAGAGAGACCAGAGAGAGACCAGAGAGAGACCAGAGAGAGACCAGAGAGAGACCAGAGGGAGACCAGAGAGAGACCAGAGAGAGACCAGAGAGAGACCAGAGAGAGACCAGAGGGAGACCAGAGAGAGACCAGAGAGAGACCAGAGAGACCAGAGAGAGACCAGAGAGAGACCAGAGAGAGACCAGAGAGAGACCAGAGAGAGACCAGAGGGAGACCAGAGAGAGACCAGAGAGAGACCAGAGAGAGACCAGAGAGAGACCAGAGAGAGAGACCAGAGAGAGACCAGAGGGAGACCAGAGAGAGACCAGAGAGAGACCAGAGAGAGACCAGAGAGAGACCAGAGAGAGACCAGAGAGAGACCAGAGAGAGACCAGAGAGAGACCAGAGAGAGACCAGAGAGAGACCAGAGAGAGAGACCAGAGAGAGACCAGAGAGAGACCAGAGGGAGACCAGAGAGAGACCAGAGAGAGACCAGAGAGAGACCAGAGAGAGACCAGAGAGAGACCAGAGAGAGAGACCAGAGAGAGACCAGAGAGAGACCAGAGAGAGACCAGAGAGAGAGACCAGAGAGAGAGACCAGAGAGAGAGACCAGAGAGAGACCAGAGAGAGACCAGAGAGACCAGAGAGAGACCAGAGAGACCAGAGAGAGACCAGAGAGAGACCAGAGAGAGACCAGAGAGGGACCAGAGAGAGACCAGAGAGAGACCAGAGAGAGAGACCAGAGAGAGACCAGAGACAGACCAGAGAGAGACCAGAGAGGGACCAGAGAGAGACCAGAGAGAGAGACCAGAGAGAGACCAGAGAGGGACCAGAGAGAGACCAGAGAGAGACCAGAGAGAGACCAGAGAGAGAGACCAGAGAGAGACCAGAGGGAGAGACCAGAGAGAGACCAGAGAGAGACCAGAGGGAGACCAGAGAGAGACCAGAGGGAGACCAGAGAGAGACCAGAGAGAGACCAGAGAGAGACCAGAGAGACCAGAGAGAGACCAGAGAGACCAGAGAGACCAGAGAGAGACCAGAGGGAGACCAGAGAGAGACCAGAGAGAGACCAGAGAGAGACCAGAGAGACCAGAGAGAGACCAGAGAGAGACCAGAGAGAGACCAGAGAGAGACCAGAGGGAGACCAGAGAGAGACCAGAGAGAGACCAGAGAGAGACCAGAGAGAGACCAGAGAGAGACCAGAGGGAGACCAGAGAGAGACCAGAGAGAGACCAGAGAGAGACCAGAGAGAGACCAGAGGGAGACCAGAGAGAGACCAGAGAGAGACCAGAGAGAGACCAGAGAGAGACCAGAGAGACCAGAGAGAGACCAGAGGGAGACCAGAGAGAGACCAGAGGGAGACCAGAGAGAGACCAGAGAGAGACCAGAGAGACCAGAGAGAGACCAGAGAGACCAGAGAGAGACCAGAGGGAGACCAGAGAGAGACCAGAGAGAGACCAGAGAGAGACCAGAGAGAGACCAGAGAGAGACCAGAGAGAGACCAGAGAGAGACCAGAGAGAGACCAGAGAGAGAGACCAGAGAGAGACCAGAGAGAGACCAGAGGGAGACCAGAGAGAGACCAGAGAGAGACCAGAGAGAGACCAGAGAGAGACCAGAGAGAGACCAGAGAGAGACCAGAGAGAGACCAGAGAGAGACCAGAGAGAGAGACCAGAGAGAGACCAGAGAGAGACCAGAGAGAGACCAGAGAGAGACCAGAGAGAGAGACCAGAGAGAGAGACCAGAGAGAGAGACCAGAGAGAGACCAGAGAGAGACCAGAGAGACCAGAGAGAGACCAGAGAGACCAGAGAGAGACCAGAGAGAGACCAGAGAGAGACCAGAGAGGGACCAGAGAGAGACCAGAGAGAGACCAGAGAGAGAGACCAGAGAGAGACCAGAGACAGACCAGAGAGAGACCAGAGAGGGACCAGAGAGAGACCAGAGAGAGAGACCAGAGAGAGACCAGAGAGGGACCAGAGAGGGACCAGAGAGAGACCAGAGAGAGACCAGAGAGAGAGACCAGAGAGAGACCAGAGACAGGCCAGAGAGAGAGACCAGAGGGAGAGACCAGAGAGAGACCAGAGAGAGACCAGAGGGAGACCAGAGAGAGACCAGAGGGAGACCAGAGAGAGACCAGAGAGAGACCAGAGAGAGACCAGAGAGACCAGAGAGAGACCAGAGAGACCAGAGAGACCAGAGAGAGACCAGAGGGAGACCAGAGAGAGACCAGAGAGACCAGAGAGAGACCAGAGAGAGACCAGAGAGAGACCAGAGAGAGACCAGAGAGAGACCAGAGGGAGACCAGAGAGAGACCAGAGAGAGACCAGAGAGAGACCAGAGAGAGACCAGAGAGAGACCAGAGGGAGACCAGAGAGAGACCAGAGAGAGACCAGAGAGAGACCAGAGAGAGACCAGAGGGAGACCAGAGAGAGACCAGAGAGAGACCAGAGAGAGACCAGAGAGAGACCAGAGAGAGACCAGAGGGAGACCAGAGAGAGACCAGAGAGAGACCAGAGAGAGACCAGAGAGACCAGAGAGAGACCAGAGAGACCAGAGAGAGACCAGAGGGAGACCAGAGAGACCAGAGAGAGACCAGAGAGAGACCAGAGAGACCAGAGAGAGACCAGAGAGAGACCAGAGAGAGACCAGAGAGAGACCAGAGAGAGACCAGAGGGAGACCAGAGAGAGACCAGAGAGAGACCAGAGAGAGACCAGAGAGACCAGAGAGAGACCAGAGAGACCAGAGAGAGACCAGAGGGAGACCAGAGAGAGACCAGAGGGAGACCAGAGAGAGACCAGAGAGAGACCAGAGAGAGACCAGAGAGAGACCAGAGAGAGACCAGAGAGAGACCAGAGAGAGACCAGAGAGAGACCAGAGAGACCAGAGAGAGACCAGAGAGAGACCAGAGAGAGACCAGAGAGAGAGACCAGAGAGAGACCAGAGAGAGACCAGAGAGAGACCAGAGAGAGACCAGAGAGAGACCAGAGAGAGACCAGAGAGAGAGACCAGAGAGAGACCAGAGAGAGACCAGAGAGAGAGACCAGAGAGAGACCAGAGAGGGACCAGAGAGAGACCAGAGAGAGACCAGACCAGAGAGAGACCAGAGAGAGACCAGAGACAGACCAGAGAGAGACCAGAGAGAGACCAGAGAGAGAGACCAGAGAGAGACCAGAGAGAGACCAGAGAGAGACCAGAAAGAGAGACCAGAGAGAGACCAGAGACAGACCAGAGACAGACCAGAGAGAGACCAGAGAGAGACCAGAGAGACCAGAGAGAGACCAGAGAGACCAGAGAGAGACCAGAGACAGACCAGAGAGAGACCAGAGAGAGACCAGAGAGAGACCAGAGAAAGACCAGAGAAAGACCAGAGAAAGACCAGAGAAAGACCAGAGAAAGACCAGAGAGAGACAGACCAGAGAGAGACCATAGAGAGACCAGAGAGAGACCAGAGAGAAAGACCAGAGAGAGACAGACCAGAGAGAGACCAGAGAGAGACAGACCAGAGAGAGACCAGAGAGAGACATGTATGACTGGTCTCTTTCGATCCTGTTTTTAATCCGATGAAAGCAGAATGTTATGGTCTGCCTTTACTTTGATAAAACTCTTTTGGGACGAACCATATGTGATATTGATGGGGGTAAAGTCAGGGACCTGAGCTTTAACTGTATTAATCCACCTCCAAAAAGAATACTTGAATCCTTTGTTTGCTCAGAGTCGTGGTTCTGCAGCATTCTTAGTCTGAACAAAAGGTCCAGAGCAAACAGTGTGAAGGGCGTGAGTCCAGAGTCCAGTCATTCAACAACTGTCAGATTCATGCAGCTACAATCTACGACCGTCTTCCTGAAAATGTGAGACGGACTTCTTTGCTGACAATGTTAGAATCCAGGTTAACAACAGTTCTGTTTCCGCAACAACAGGGATTTGATCTTTACTCTTTTTAATGAACTGTGATTATTTATGACTTTATGACTTTTCCTGTTTCCTTGTGTATGAACTGTGCTATACAAATAACCGTGTCTCTACACGACCATGGGGCCATGGGGCCATGGGGCCAGTTCCCACGCAGTAAAGTGAAGTACAGTTTAATTATTGTGTAAATCTGGACTCGTTCCTGGTTTTGACATAACTCAGGAGGTTCTGTGTTCGCCACAGACGTAAACACAGATCCATGACGTAAACTCACCTGCAGCTGCAGTGAAGCAGAGAAGAAGAAGAGTCTGTCGGTGTGGTTGTTGTTGTGGTTGTAGTTGTGGTTGTAGTTGTGGTTGTAGTTGTGGTTGTAGTTGTGGTTGTAGTTGTGGGACAGGTCTCTGTTCTCAGGTCTCTCTCCACTGCGGGTCTGAGGCTGTGACTTTACGGTAAAGACACCGCGCAACACGGAAACCAGCGGTGGACCGTAATGACGGGAAGAGAGACGCACGCAAATCTGACGCAAAGTGTGTGAGTGTGTGTGTGTCTGATGTGTGTAGTGTGTGTGTGTGTGTGTGTGTGTCTGTGTGTGTATTTGTCTGTGTGTGTGTGTGTGTGTCTGTGTGTGTATTTGTCTGTGTGTGTGTGTGTGTGTGTATTTGTCTGTGTGTGTGTGTATGTGTGTGTCTGTGTGTGTGTGTGTGTGTGTCTGTGTGTGTGTGTATTTGTGTGTATGTGTGTGTATTTGTTTGTGTGTGTGTGTGTGTGTGTGTGTTTGTGTGTGTGTGTGTGTGTGTGTGTGTGTATTTGTCTGTGTGTGTGTGTGTGTTTGTCTGATGTGTGTGTGTCTGTCTGATGTGTGTGTGTGTCTGATGTGTGTGTGTTTTTGTGTGTGTGTGTGTGTGTGTCTGATGTGTGTGTGTTTTTGTGTGTGTGTGTCTGATGTGTGTGTGTGTGTTTTTGTGTGTGTCTGATATGCTTCAGACACAGCAACACACGTTTACTGTCAGCAAAGTCAGTTTAAAATGATGAAAGCGTGAGAGCAGCGCCATCTAGCGGCTGCTGTCAAAATGGCAACAGAGCTTCTTGTCCATCTACTGTCTGCAGAAAAGCCCCTCTTCTCCCAGGCACCGGTCCTGGTCCTCGTTACCATAGCAACACGTTGTGTACGGTCAGCCGTTAGAATTTAGCTTAACTGTTTGTTCCTGTTTTTTGGTTATATTCACCAGTTTTAGCAAGTAGTAAAATTGAGGAAAACTTTATGAACTACTTTTATTAATACTGTTGAAAACGGACTCGTTTTCAAAGGGATGTTTTCCATCGATTTGAATCGATTTGAATCGATTTGAATCGATTTGAATCGATTTGAATCGATTTGAGTGGAGCCGTCAAAATGTCTGCTCTGGGAGTTCTGGTGGTTTCAGAATAATGGGAGTCCTAGAGTTAATAAAAAGTCCTAGAGTCTAAAAAAGTATGTTTTTATCGGGTATTATTTGTATTAGTATTATCCTTATTATTATGGGGGCGACAGTAGCTCAGTTGGTAGAGCATTGGCCTTAAGGCCAGAAGGTTGTGGGTTCAATTCCCACCTCTGCACCTTCTCCATCGACTCCCACCGATGGCAGCTGTCGTTGTGTCCTTGGGCAAGACACTTAACCCCACTTTGCCCAAAGCCCCCACTGAAAGATCAAGGCTATGCTCACACTCAGAGAGCAGCCGTCCTCCTGTGGACTCACCACCTGCAGAGGGTCAGTGAGGGGCTGGTGCTATGAGACTTGGGTGGCATCTCTGATTGCCACCCCCCTGACCCAGAAATGGATTAAAGGGTAGAAAATGGATGGATGGATGGACTCTCCAAAAGGGGCGTTTTGATGACGTTACCGTAAAGTGTGTAAAGCAGGAAACGTGCTGTTTCTGCTTCCGCTGCAGCAGGAGGACACGCTGAGGCCGATGTCTGTCTCCATCCGTGCGCCTGACGCGGTTGCTAGGCGTCTCCAGTGATTAAAAGCCCACAAACACGGGCCCCATCTCCGGGTGTAGTTCTCCAGTCCCCCGGGTCCGGATCAATCCCCCGCAGCAGCAGGATGGGTACTAGGGCCAGCCGCCTCCAGGAGGACCCTACCCCCGCGGCGGCAGCAGCGGTGCTCTCGCCCTCTGCCTTCGGGAAAGAGGGCTCCAAACGCGGGTCGTACCGGAGAGCTCGGTGCCCCAGACCCACCAGCCTCATGGTGGACTTCTCCGGGAGCTTTGAGGACACGGAAGCCGGGCGCAGTCGCTCGGAGGAGGCCAGCAGTGACTCCGACCTGGGCCAGCAGCAGAGCGGGGCCAGCGCGGAGGGAAGCCCCGCCGAGCACCTCCACCACCGGCACCATCACCACAGCGAGAGCCACAGCGAGAGCCACAGCGAGGGCCACAGCGAGGGCCACAGTGAGAGCCACAGCGAGAGCCACAGCGGGGGCCACAGTGAGAGCCACAGTGAGAGCCACAGCGGGGGCCACAGTGAGAGCCACAGTGAGAGCCACAGCGGGGGCCACAGCGGGGGCCAGGCCGTGTCTCCAGCCGCGGAGAGCACCAGCACCAGCAGCGTGAGTCTAATGTGTTTGTGGAGACTATGTGTCAAAACCAGCGTGACCCTCGCTAGTCTGTCTGGTTTAGCCCCGTTTCCACTAACCTACTTGGCCCTTCTCGGCTCTACTCTACCTGCTTCTGTTTCCTTTACGCTGCAGTTTCTGGTACCGTATCCCAGCAACCTGCCCACAACATACCATTGTCTTAGGAAGTTCCTTGGTAGCCATGGCTTCCAGCAGCACTCTGGCCAATCACTGTCAGTTAGAACACTTCAGTACCAGCTCGGCCTGGATAGAACCAGGACCAAGAGGGACTAAAGAAGGACCTGGTACTGGTTACACAGGACCAGAGGAAACACGGGAGGAGAGCAGAGCCGGGCTGGTGGGAACGGTGCTAAAGTGTTGGCCCTTAAAGCTGGGGGATCTGACTTTTTACTTTCATGAATCATACACGTGGTTTGAGAAAGAGTCGGTGTTAAATCACTGTCGGGTTTGAGAGCGAGGGACTGAGGTGCCTGGGTAATATTACACAGTTCAACTGTTGTGTTTTGAAAGTTAGGTACCACTAAGATAGCACAGGTACAGCGAGGCTGCAGACCCAGGACCGAGGCTGCAGACCCAGGACCGAGGCTGCAGACCCAGGACCGAGGCTGCAGACCCAGGACCGAGGCTGCAGACCCAGGACCGAGGGCTGCAGACCCAGGACCGAGGCTGCAGACCCAGGACCGAGGCTGCAGACCCCAGGACCGAGGCTGCAGACAGACTCTCTCACACTACTGTCTCCTTTAGGCTGCAGACCCAGGACCGAGGCTGCAGACCCAGGACCGAGACTCTGCAGACCCAGGACCGAGGCTGCAGACTCCAGACCTCTCAGGGCTGCAGACTCCTTTACCTTCAGACTCTCTCACTACTGTCTCCTTTACCTTCAGACTCTCTCACTACTGTCTCCTTTACCTTCAGACTCTCTCACTACTGTCTCCTTTACCTTCAGACTCTCTCACTACTGTCTCCTTTACCTTCAGACTCTCTCAGACTCTCTCACTACTGTCTCCTTTACCTTCAGACTCTCTCACTACTGTCTCCTTTACCTTCAGACTCTCTCACTACGTCTCCTTCTCAGACTGTCTCACTACTGTCTCCTTTACCTTCAGACTCTCTCACTACTGTCTCCTTTACCTTCAGACTCTCTCACTACTGTCTCCTTTACCTTCAGACTCTCTCACTACTGTCTCCTTTACCTTCAGACTCTCTCACTACTGTCTCCTTTACCTTCAGACTCTCTCACTACTGTCTCCTTTACCTTCAGACTCTCTCACTACTGTCTCCTTTACCTTCAGACTCTCTCACTACTGTCTCCTTTACCTTCAGACTCTCTCACTACTGTCTCCTTTACCTTCAGACTCTCTCACTACTGTCTCCTTTACCTTCAGACTCTCTCACCTACTGTCTCCTTTACCTTCAGACTCTCTCACTACTGTCTCCTTTACCTTCAGACTCTCTCACTACTGTCTCCTTTACCTTCAGACTCTCTCACTACTGTCTCCTTTACCTTCAGACTCTCTCACTACTGTCTCCTTTACCTTCAGACTCTCTCACTACTGTCTCCTTTACCTTCAGACTCTCTCACTACTGTCTCCTTTACCTTCAGACTCTCTCACTACTGTCTCCTTTACCTTCAGACTCTCTCACTACTGTCTCCTTTACCTTCAGACTCTCTCACTACTGTCTCCTTTACCTTCAGACTCTCTCACTACTGTCTCCTTTACCTTCAGACTCTCTCACTACTGTCTCCTTTACCTTCAGACTCTCTCACTACTGTCTCCTTTACCTTCAGACTCTCTCACTACTGTCTCCTTTACCTTCAGACTCTCTCACTACTGTCTCCTTTACCTTCAGACTCTCTCACTACTGTCTCCTTTACCTTCAGACTCTCTCACTACTGTCTCCTTTACCTTCAGACTCTCTCACTACTGTCTCCTTTACCTTCAGACTCTCTCACTACTGTCTCCTTTACCTTCAGACTCTCTCACTACTGTCTCCTTTACCTTCAGACTCTCTCACTACTGTCTCCTTTACCTTCAGACTCTCTCACTACTGTCTCCTTTACCTTCAGACTCTCTCACTACTGTCTCCTTTACCTTCAGACTCTCTCACTACTGTCTCCTTTACCTTCAGACTCTCTCACTACTGTCTCCCCTTACTCTCACTCTCACTCAGACTCTCCACTACTGTCTCCTTTACCTTCAGACTCTCTCACTACTGTCTCCTTTACCTTCAGACTCTCTCACTACTGTCTCCTTTACCTTCAGACTCTCTCACTACTGTCTCCTTTACCTTCAGACTCTCTCACTACTGTCTCCTTTACCTTCAGACTCTCTCACTACTGTCTCCTTTACCTTCAGACTCTCTCACTACTGTCTCCTTTACCTTCAGACTCTCTCACTACTGTCTCCTTTACCTTCAGACTCTCTCACTACTGTCTCCTTTACCTTCAGACTCTCTCACTACTGTCTCCTTTACCTTCAGACTCTCTCACTACTGTCTCCTTTACCTTCAGACTCTCTCACTACTGTCTCCTTTACCTTCAGACTCTCTCACTACTGTCTCCTTTACCTTCAGACTCTCTCACTACTGTCTCCTTTACCTTCAGACTCTCTCACTACTGTCTCCTTTACCTTCAGACTCTCTCACTACTGTCTCCTTTACCTTCAGACTCTCTCACTACTGTCTCCTTTACCTTCAGAACTCTCTCACTACTGTCTCCTTTACCTTCAGACTCTCTCACTACTGTCTCCTTTACCTTCAGACTCTCTCACTACTGTCTCCTTTACCTTCAGACTCTCTCACTACTGTCTCCTTTACCTTCAGACTCTCTCACTACTGTCTCCTTTACCTTCAGACTCTCTCACTACTGTCTCCTTTACCTTCAGACTCTCTCACTACTGTCTCCTTTACCTCAGACTCTCTCACTACTGTCTCCTTTACCTTCAGACTCTCTCACTACTGTCTCCTTTACCTTCAGACTCTCTCACTACTGTCTCCTTTACCTTCAGACTCTCTCACTACTCTCTCCTTTACCTTCAGACTCTCTCACTACTGTCTCCTTTACCTTCAGACTCTCTCACTACTGTCCTTTACCTCAGACTCTCTCACTACTGTCTCCTTTACCTTCAACTCTCTCACTACTGTCTCCTTTACCTTCAGACTCTCTCACTACTGTCTCCTTTACCTTCAGACTCTCTCACTACTGTCTCCTTTACCTTCAGACTCTCTCACTACTGTCTCCTTTACCTTCAGACTCTCTCACTACTGTCTCCTTTACCTTCAGACTCTCTCACTACTGTCTCCTTTACCTTCAGACTCTCTCACTACTGTCTCCTTTACCTTCAGACTCTCTCACTACTGTCTCCTTTACCTTCAGACTCTCTCACTACTGTCTCCTTTACCTTCAGACTCTCTCACTACTGTCTCCTTTACCTTCAGACTCTCTCACTACTGTCTCCTTTACCTTCAGACTCTCTCACTACTGTCTCCTTTACCTTCAGACTCTCTCACTACTGTCTCCTTTACCTTCAGACTCTCTCACTACTGTCTCCTTTACCTTCAGACTCTCTCACTACTGTCTCCTTTACCTTCAGACTCTCTCACTACTGTCTCCTTTACCTTCAGACTCTCTCACTACTGTCTCCTTTACCTTCAGACTCTCTCACTACTGTCTCCTTTACCTTCAGACTCTCTCACTACTGTCTCCTTTACCTTCAGACTCTCTCACTACTGTCTCCTTTACCTTCAGACTCTCTCACTACTGTCTCCTTTACCTTCAGACTCTCTCACTACTGTCTCCTTTACCTTCAGACTCTCTCACTACTGTCTCCTTTACCTTCAGACTCTCTCACTACTGTCTCCTTTACCTTCAGACTCTCTCACTACTGTCTCCTTTACCTTCAGACTCTCTCACTACTGTCTCCTTTACCTTCAGACTCTCTCACTACTGTCTCCTTTACCTTCAGACTCTCTCACTACTGTCTCCTTTACCTTCAGACTCTCTCACTACTGTCTCCTTTACCTTCAGACTCTCTCACTACTGTCTCCTTTACCTTCAGACTCTCTCACTGCTGTCTCCTTTACCTTCAGACTCTCTCACTACTGTCTCCTTTACCTTCCAGACTCTCTCACTACTGTCTCCTTTACCTTCAGACTCTCTCACTACTGTCTCCTTTACCTTCAGACTCTCTCACTACTGTCTCCTTTACCTTCAGACTCTCTCACTACTGTCTCCTTTACCTTCAGACTCTCTCACTACTGTCTCCTTTACCTTCAGACTCTCTCACTACTGTCTCCTTTACCTTCAGACTCTCTCACTACTGTCTCCTTTACCTTCAGACTCTCTCACTACTGTCTCCTTTACCTTCAGACTCTCTCACTACTGTCTCCTTTACCTTCAGACTCTCTCACTACTGTCTCCTTTACCTTCAGACTCTCTCACTACTGTCTCCTTTACCTTCAGACTCTCTCACTACTGTCTCCTTTACCTTCAGACTCTCTCACTACTGTCTCCTTTACCTTCAGACTCTCTCACTACTGTCTCCTTTACCTTCAGACTCTCTCACTACTGTCTCCTTTACCTTCAGACTCTCTCACTACTGTCCCTTTACCTTTACCTTCAGACTCTCTCACTACTGTCTCCTTTACCTTCAGACTCTCTCACTACTGTCTCCTTTACCTTCAGACTCTCTCACTACTCTCTCCTTTACCTTCAGACTCTCTCACTACTGTCTCCTTTACCTTCAGACTCTCTCACTATTGTCTCCTTTACCTTCAGACTCTCTCACTGCTGTCTCCTTTACCTTCAGACTCTCTCACTACTGTCTCCTTTACCTTCAGACTCTCTCACTACTGTCTCCTTTACCTTCAGACTCTCTCACTACTGTCTCCTTTACCTTCAGACTCTCTCACTACTGTCTCCTTTACCTTCAGACTCTCTCACTACTGTCTCCTTTACCTTCAGACTCTCTCACTACTGTCTCCTTTACCTTCAGACTCTCTCACTACTCTCTCCTTTACCTTCAGACTCTCTCACTACTGTCTCCTTTACCTTCAGACTCTCTCACTACTGTCTCCTTTACCTTCAGACTCTCTCACTACTGTCTCCTTCAGACTCTCTCACTACTGTCTCCTTTACCTTCAGACTCTCTCACTACTGTCTCCTTTACCTTCAGACTCTCTCACTACTGTCTCCTTTACCTTCAGACTCTCTCACTACTGTCTCCTTTACCTTCAGACTCTCTCACTACTGTCTCCTTTACCTTCAGACTCTCTCACTACTGTCTCCTTTACCTTCAGACTCTCTCACTACTGTCTCCTTTACCTTCAGACTCTCTCACTACTCTCTCCTTTACCTTCAGACTCTCTCACTACTGTCACCTTTACCTTCAGACTCTCTCACTACTGTCTCCTTCAGACTCTCTCACTACTGTCTCCTTTACCTTCAGACTCTCTCACTACTGTCTCCTTTACCTTCAGACTCTCTCACTACTGTCTCCTTTACCTTCAGACTCTCTCACTACTGTCTCCTTTACCTTCAGACTCTCTCACTACTCTCTCCTTTACCTTCAGACTCTCTCACTACTGTCTCCTTTACCTTCAGACTCTCTCACTACTGTCTCCTTTACCTTCAGACTCTCTCACTACTCTCTTCTTTACCTTCAGACTCTCTCACTACTGTCTCCTTTACCTTCAGACTCTCTCACTACTGTCTCCTTTACCTTCAGACTCTCTCACTACTGTGTGTCTGTACCATGGGTCTCCTCTGGTGTGGTATGTCTGTACCATGGGTCTCCTCTGGTGTGGTATGTCTGTACCATGGGTCTCCTCTGGTGTGGTATGTCTGTACCATGGGTCTCCTCTGGTGTGGTATGTCTGTACCATGGGTCTCCTCTGGTGTGGTGTGTCTGTACCATGGGTCTCCTCTGGTGTGGTGTGTCTGTACCATGGGTCTCCTCTGGTGTGGTATGTCTGTACCATGGGTCTCCTCTGGTGTGGTATGTCTGTACCATGGGTCTCCTCTGGTGTGGTGTGTCTGTACCATGGGTCTCCTCTGGTGTGGTATGTCTGTACCATGGGTCTCCTCTGGTGTGGTGTGTCTGTACCATGGGTCTCCTCTGGTGTGGTATGTCTGTACCATGGGTCTCCTCTGGTGTGTCTGTACCATGGGTCTCCTCTGGTGTGTCTGTACCATGGGTCTCCTCTGGTGTGTCTGTACCATGGGTCTCCTCTGGTGTGTCTGTACCATGGGTCTCCTCTGGTGTGTCTGTACCATGGGTTCTGTCACGCTCCACACTGCAGTGTTCTTTTTTCCAACAGTTTGTTAGAACTGTTGGAGCAGCCTCGGTCTGGACCAGTCTGACAGAAGTGAACACACCTTTAGTTGTTGCAGCATCTCTCTCCCCCCTGTCTCCCCCCTCATCCTCCTCTCTCCCCCCTGTCTCCCCCCTGTCTCCCCCCTCATCCTCCTCCTCAGACCAGCTTTAATCTGCTAAAAACAGCTTGTTTTACCTTTTACCGTTCCTGAGCAATCTGTCATATAAATATAAAATATAGATTAGAACCTGAGTCATAACTTGACCCTGGACCACTCTGACACATTAACCTGAGTCATAACTTGACCCTGGACCACTCTGACACATTAACCTGAGTCATAACTTGACCCTGGACCACTCTGACACATTAACCTGAGTCATAACTTCACCCTGGACCACTCTGACACATTAACCTGAGTCATAACTTGACCCTGGACCACTCTGACACATTAACCTGAGTCATAACTTGACCCTGGACCACTCTGACACATTAACCTGAGTCATAACTTCACCCTGGACCACTCTGACACATTAACCTGAGTCATAACTTCACCCTGGACCACTCTGACACATTAACCTGAGTCATAACTTGACCCTGGACCACTCTGACACATTAACCTGAGTCATAACTTGACCCTGGACCACTCTGACACATTAACCTGAGTCATAACTTGACCCTGGACCACTCTGACACATTAACCTGATCATAACTTGACCTGTCTGACACATTAACTTGAACCCCTGGACCACTCTGACACATTAACCTGAGTCATAACTTGACCCTGGACCACTCTGACACATTAACCTGAGTCATAACTTGACCCTGGACCACTCTGACACATTAACCTGAGTCATAACTTGACCCTGGACCACTCTGACACAGGCAGAGATTTTACTGTTAATAAAGAACGTGGCAAGTTTTGCATCCGACGAAAAGTTTGTATCCAAGACTCGTCACTGGGTCACTGGGTCACTGGGTCGCTGGGTCGCTGGGTCACTGGGTCACTGGGTCACTGGGTCACTGGGTCGCTGGGTCACTGGGTCACTGGGTCACTGGGTCGCTGGGTCACTGGGTCGCTGGGTCGCTGGGTCACTGGGTCACTGGGTCACTGGGTCACTGGGTCGCTGCTGTAGCCTGTTCAAGACGACCGCTTCTGTCAAATCAGTCGGCCCTCGGGGCCCTGCCGGTTTGGGGGCCCCTTAAGGGACGCCTCTGACAGAGAGTAAAGTGCCACAATGAAAATACAGAGAGTAAAGTCTCTCTCTCTGGTTTCTCTCTGGTTTCTCTCTCTGGTCTCTCTCTCTCTCTGGTTTCTCTCTGGTTTCTCTCTCTCTCTGGTTTCTCTCTCTGGTCTCTCTCTCTCTCTGGTTTCTCTCTGGTCTCTCTCTGGTCTCTCTCTCTCTGGTCTCTCTCTCTGGTCCCTCTCTCTGGTTTCTCTCTCTGGTCTCTCTCTGGTTTCTCTCTCTGGTCTCTCTCTGGTTTCTCTCTCTGGTCTCTCTCTCTCTCTCTGGTTTCTCTCTCTGGTTTCTCTCTCTGGTTTCTCTCTCTCTCTGGTCTCTCTCTCTGGTCTCTCTCTCTGGTCTCTCTCTCTGGTCTCTCTCTCTGGTCTCCCTCTCTGGTCTCTCTCTCTGGTTTCTCTCTCTGGTCTCTCTCTCTGGTCTCTCTCTCTGGTCTCTCTCTCTCTGGTCTCTCTCTCTGGTCTCTCTCTCTGGTCTCTCTCTCTGGTTTCTCTCTCTGGTCTCTCTCTCTGGTCTCTCTCTCTCTGGTCTCTCTCTCTGGTCTCTCTCTCTGGTCCCTCTCTCTGGTCTCTCTCTCTGGTCTCTCTCTCTCTGGTCTCTCTCTCTGGTCTCTCTCTCTGGTCTCTCTCTCTGGTTTCTCTCTCTGGTTTCTCTCTCTGGTCTCTCTCTCTGGTCTCTCTCTCTCTGGTCTCTCTCTCTGGTCTCTCTCTCTGGTCCCTCTCTCTGGTCCCTCTCTCTGGTCTCTCTCTCTGGTCTCTCTCTCTGGTCTCTCTCTCTGGTCTCTCTCTCTGGTCTCTCTCTCTGGTCTCTCTCTCTGGTCTCTCTCTCTGGTCTCTCTCTCTGGTCTCTCTCTCTGGTCTCTCTCTGGTCTCTCTCTCTGGTCTCCAGCTCAAGTTCATCTCTAGAACATAGACACAATGAGAGCGGTTATTTTTCCAATATATTTATTAGTTTTCTACACACAGGTAGGGTTTCTCTTTGGTAAAGCAGATTGTAGGTAGGGTTTCTCTTTGGTAAAGCAGACTGTAGCAGATGTTTCTAGAAGAAGCCTGTGTCTGTTGTAAACAATAATGCACTGGTTCCGGCTTTAGGACAGGGGTCATGTGTTCTAGACCCAGAGGAAGTGAGAGAGTCCAGAGAGAGAGAAACCACAGAAAGACCAGAGAGAGAGACCAGAGAGAGAGAAACCACAGAAAGACCAGAGAGAGAGACCAGAGAGAGAGAAACCACAGAAAGACCAGAGAGAGAGACCAGAGAGAGAGACCACAGACAGACCAGAGAGAGAGACCACAGAAAGACCAGAGAGAGAGACCAGAGAGAGAGACCACAGAGACCAGAGAGAGAGACCAGAGAGAGAGACCAAAGAGAGACCAGAGAGAGAGACCAGAGAGAGAGACCAAAGAGAGACCAGAGAGAGAGACCAGAGAGAGAGACCAGAGAGAGAACCAGAGAGAGAGACCAGAGAGAGAGACCAGAGAGAGACAGAGAGAGAGGACCAGAGAGAGACCAGAGAGAGACCAGAGAGAGACCAGAGAGAGACCAGAGAGAGACCAGAGAGAGACCAGAGGACCAGAGAGAGAGACCAGAGAGAGACCAGAGAGAGACCAGAGAGAGAGACCAGAGAGAGACCAGAGAGAGACCAGAGAGAGACCCCAGAGAGAGACCAGAGAGTCCTCTGAAACAATCACTGCTGTGACACACAGTGTTCTAGTGTCTTCAAACAAAGGTACCTGTCGTGTTGTACCTGTGATACATGTGGTACCTGTGATACCTGTGAGACCTGATGTTGGAGTGAACAGTGTTATAGTGAGGGTGAAGTGCAAATAAATCAAAGTAGTGCTGAGGCTGTGATGTCGCATGACACTCAGAGCTTCACTTGGTCCAGGAGAGGAAGTACAGGTTCCCAAGACGGTCTCCACAAACCAACTGGGTCTGGACCTCAGTCTGGACCTCAGTCTGGACCTCAGTCTGGACCTCAGTCTGGACCTCAGGGAAGACCTCCAGGAGGACCACAGGGGAACTGCACACGAACATGCCCAGCTGCAGCACAGGGAAGGGGGGGAGAGGAGGCTCAGTCCTGGGTCTAAGGCCTTAGTCCTGGGTCCACGGCCTCAGTCCTGGGTTCACAGTCTCAGTCCTGGGTCCACAGTCTCAGTCCTGGGTCTAAGGCCTTAGTCCTGGGTCCACAGCCTCAGTCCTGGGTCTACAGTCTCAGTCCTGGGTCTACAGCCTCAGTCCTGGGTCTACAGCCTCAGTCCTGGGTTCACAGTCTCAGTCCTGGGTCCACAGTCTCAGTCCTGGGTCTACAGCCTCAGTCCTGGGTCTACAGCCTCAGTCCTGGGTCCACAGCCTCAGTCCTGGGTTCACAGTCTCAGTCCTGGGTCCACAGCCTCAGTCCTGGGTCTACAGCCTCAGTCCTGGGTCCACAGCCTCAGTCCTGGGTTCACAGTCTCAGTCCTGGGTCCACAGCCTCAGTCCTGGGTCTACAGCCTCAGTCCTGGGTCCACAGCCTCAGTCCTGGGTCCACAGTCTCAGTCCTGGGTCCACAGCCTCAGTCCTGGGTCTACAGTCTCAGTCCTGGGTCCACAGCCTCAGTCCTGGGTCCACAGCCTCAGTCCTGGGTCCACAGCCTCAGTCCTGGGTCCACAGCCTCAGTCCTGGGTCCACAGCCTCAGTCCTGGGTCTACAGTCTCAGTCCTGGGTCCACAGTCTCAGTCCTGGGTCCACAGCCTCAGTCCTGGGTCCACAGCCTCAGTCCTGGGTCCACAGCCTCAGTCCTGGGTCCACAGCCTCAGTCCTGGGTCTACAGCCTCAGTCCTGGGTCTACAGCCTCAGTCCTGGGTCCACAGTCTCAGTCCTGGGTCCACAGCCTCAGTCCTGGGTCTACAGAAGGTCTTGCTGACCTGTTTCTTTGTTTCCCGGTCCCACAGTTTGATGGTTTTGTCGAGAGAAGCAGAGATGATGGTGTCTTTGGTCAGTCTCAGCGCCGTGATGCGGTCAGTGTGCGCCTGCAACCACAACATGTGACATCAGAGAGACCAGAGGGAGACCAGAGAGAGACCAGAGAGAGACCAGAGTGAGACCAGAGAGAGACCAGAGAGAGACCAGAGAGAGACCAGAGAGAGACCAGAGAGAGACCAGAGAGAGACCAGAGAGAGAGACCAGAGAGAGAGAGAGACCAGAGAGAGACCAGAGAGAGACCAGAGAGAGACCAGAGAGAGACCAGAGAGAGACCAGAGAGAGAGACCAGAGAGAGAGACCAGAGAGAGACCAGAGAGAGACCAGAGAGAGACCAGAGAGAGACCAGAGAGAGACCAGAGAGAGACCAGAGAGAGAGACCAGAGAGAGACCAGAGAGAGACCAGAGAGAGAGACCAGAGATAGACCAGAGAGAGACCAGAGAGAGACCAGAGAGAGACCAGAGAGAGACCAGAGAGAGACCAGAGAGGAGACCAGAGAGAGAGACCAGAGAGAGACCAGAGAGAGACCAGAGAGGGACCAGAGAGAGACCAGAGAGAGACCAGAGAGTGAGACCAGAGAGAGACCAGAGAGTGAGACCAGAGAGAGACCAGAGAGAGACCAGAGAGAGACCAGAGAGAGACCAGAGAGAGACCAGAGAGAGACCAGAGAGAGACCAGAGAGAGACCAGAGAGAGACCAGAGAGTGAGACCAGAGAGAGACCAGAGAGAGACCAGAGAGGGACCAGAGAGAGACCAGAGAGAGACCAGAGAGTGAGACCAGAGAGAGACCAGAGAGTGAGACCAGAGAGAGACCAGAGAGAGACCAGAGAGAGACCAGAGAGAGAGACCAGAGAGGAGACCAGAGAGAGACCAGAGAGAGACCAGAGAGAGACCAGAGAGAGACCAGAGAGAGACCAGAGAGGAGACCAGAGAGAGAGACCAGAGAGGAGACCAGAGAGAGACCAGAGAGAGACCAGAGAGAGACCAGAGAGAGACCAGAGAGAGACCAGAGAGAGACCAGAGAGTGAGACCAGAGAGAGACCAGAGAGAGACCAGAGAGAGACCAGAGAGAGAGACCAGAGAGAGACCAGAGAGAGACCAGAGAGAGACCAGAGAGAGACCAGAGAGAGAGACCAGAGAGAGACCAGAGAGAGACCAGAGAGAGACCAGAGAGAGAGACCAGAGAGAGACCAGAGAGAGACCAGAGAGAGACCAGAGAGAGAGACCAGAGAGAGACCAGAGAGAGACCAGAGAGTGAGACCAGAGAGAGACCAGAGAGAGACCAGAGAGAGACCAGAGAGAGACCAGAGAGAGACCAGAGAGAGACCAGAGAGTGAGACCAGAGAGAGACCAGAGAGGGACCAGAGAGAGAGACCAGAGAGAGACCAGAGAGAGACCAGAGAGAGACCAGAGAGAGACCAGAGAGAGAGACCAGAGAGAGACCAGAGAGAGACCAGAGAGAGAGACCAGAGAGAGACCAGAGAGAGACCAGAGAGAGACCAGAGAGAGACCAGAGAGAGACCAGAGAGAGACCAGAGCGAGACCAGAGAGAGAGCAGAGAGAGAGACCAGAGAGAGAGACCAGAGAGAGACCAGAGAGAGACCAGAGAGAGAGACCAGAGGGAGACCAGAGAGAGACCAGAGAGAGAGTGTTTAGTAATTGGTCCCATATTCTATCGCCCGCCCCACTGCAAACCAGTGTCCAGGGAAATTCCTTGGTGACCATGGCTTTCCGCAGCACTCTGACAATCACTGTCAGTTAGAACACTTTAGTACCAGCTCGGCCTGGATAGAACCAGGACCATGAAGGACTAAAGAAGGACCTGGTACTGGTTACACAGGACCATGAAGGACTAAAGAAGGACCTGGTACTGGTTACACAGGACCATGAAGGACTAAAGAAGGACCTGGTACTGGTTACACAGGACCATGAAGGACTAAAGAAGGACCTGGTACTGGTTACACAGGACCATGAAGGGCTAAAGAAGGACCTGGTACTGGTTACACAGGACCATGAAGGACTAAAGAAGGACCTGGTACTGGTTACACAGGACCATGAAGGGCTAAAGAAGGACCTGGTACTGGTTATACAGGACCATGAAGGACCTGGTACTGGTTACACAGGACCATGAAGGACTAAAGAAGGACCTGGTACTGGTTACACAGGACCATGAAGGAGTAAAGAAGGACCTGGTACTGGTTATACAGGACCATGAAGGACTAAAGAAGGACCTGGTACTAGTTACACAGGACCATGAAGGAGTAAAGAAGGACCTGGTACTGGTTATACAGGACCATGAAGGACTAAAGAAGGGCCTGGTACTGGTTACACAGGACCATGAAGGGCTAAAGAAGGACCT